ATGAGTCCTAAGCAGAAGCCAGCCCCTTGAGGGCTCTGAGACTTTGGGCAAGTCACTTTATCTCTGTTTCTTTATTCCTGATTTGGAAGACTGGCGCTGGATTATCTCTGAATCTCTTTCTTTTAAGCATCAATATTTCAGGAGTTGGTTTATTCTAAAAAGTCTCCAAGTGTCCCATGGATCTTTGTTATCCACCGAACCTAAATGAAGCGATTACGGAATACAAGAGACCCTCAGCAGAGACGAGCTCCCCCACAGCGTCCAGCTAGTACCCATGAGCCCACCACAGCAGGCCTGGGACACTTTGAGGCAGTTACCAACCCGGCAGGCGGAGCGGGGAGCAGTGTAAGCTCACTGGGGCCCTCCCATGGCCTGGATGAGATTTTCTCAGAATTGAACTGCAGGTTGAGGTTCTTCCTACTCAGTCTTCCCTTCCCTCTCTCCCCGCACAGGACCCAGACCTATCTTCAGTCTGAGAGCTGCCCTGCCTGCCCTGCTCCATCCCCGCTTGATTCACAGCCATTTCCCCAAGAAACAACTTGTGTGTCTCTTCCCATGTTGGCATCTGCTTCATGGAGGACCCAAGTAGATGCCTATGTTGGGCTTCCTGGCAAGCGACCTTCTAAAACTTGAGACTCTCCTAGATATGTGGCTTTGTAAATCTCTTTTTCTAATGCGGTTTTGAGATTTTCGGCTCTGTGGAACATTCTTCAAAACAACATTAGAAAATGACCTCACGCCATTACATGCTACCGATCCCGTGCTAACTAGTTATTGTCCTGTTAAGTCCCTGTCCTACACCTGTTGTGTTTGAAGCTGCCCAGCATCTTCTGAATAGCCTTCCTGCATGTGAGAAACTGCTGATAGTAGGCCCTGCCTTCCTGAGCTAGACACTCCCATTTTTCTTTGAGTCCCTTGCAATGAGGGAAGACATATGACTCTACCAGATGCTTTGGTGGGGAACTTGAATCAGTAAAAGGGCAGGGAATTGTGTGGGACGCATTCTCTATTAGTGGCAGTGACGGAGATGTTGGACTTTCCCAGCCATGGTTCCTGCTTCTTCTTCCTCCTTCAAAGACATCATCTTACTGGTTGTATGGAAACGGTGGCCCCGTGTATGGAAAAAAGGAAATGAAAAGTCAGACAATTCAGTGATTAAAGTGACCCAACCGCTGGCAGCGGAGGTGAAGCAGTGGAGGAGGTGTTTGACTCCCGAGGACGTGCCCCCCACCACCTTCGCCCTGAGTTATACACCAGGGCACAAATCACTTTCTGAGAAGCATCAGTTTTATGAGGCCTGGTTTGCCCATGGGGTATAAGAGAAAGGTCCCAGGGACAACACGGACTTGGCTTCAAAGCCTGGTTCTCTCCTACTTGGCTCTGTCTCTGGGCAAGCCTGCAGCCTTGTTCCTTGAATGCTGCCTTCACTGTTTGAGAAGAGCATTATGTAATGCTTTTCACAGCTCACAGACGATATGAAATGAAAAAGGAAGTCATCTGTATTAAATAAGTGGTGGTAAATTCCCACAAACAAGTTCTCTATGTGTGTGGCCATAAAAAGGAGACAGAGCCATATGTTTTGATGTGGGAAAATCTCCAAGGTGTTGGTGTTGGAGAAAAATCAAGCGGGTGGATTAGGATTATGTTAAGGGAAAATAGAGGGCAGAAGGCCAGCCTGTGAATGCATGCACGGACATAGAACTGTGTCTACTTGAATTAAGTAGGACAGGGGATGGAGGCACAGTCTCCTTCGTAAGCATTACTATAACGAGCATGTAGGCCAGCCTGCTTTGGGGAATGAAAACTCATTTCCTCACCACCTAAGTCTAAACCCACTACACTTTGCCATATTGCATCAATTGCTTAAAAAAAAACAAAAACTGAACCATTTCAGAGGAAATGACACTGGACACCTCATCTCTGAAGAGTCGAGTTCTCACTGCCATGACATGTCGCCCTGCACAATGCCATTAACCATTAACACCCTTATGTAACGTGTGTTTCCCTGATGGCAGAGAACTTGGATCCGTATTCAGTTCTTTTAATTTTCTCCCAGATAAACTATTTTTCTGGTATATGGTTAAATAAGCATCTGAAGACTTTCAATCTGACAGTCCCCCATCTACCTCCTTCCCCACACCTTTAGAGTACCAAAGAGATCAGAAATAGCCTTCATTTCATATTTGTCTGTTTGTTTCTTTGTTCTCCAAACTTCCTGTGAACTGGTTGTTGGACTAGATGGGGCAAAACATTTTTGGCAACGAGACATCACAGGTGAAACTGTGCACTTCTTTGTGTTGAAGCTATTCAGTTGGTGGATTATGAGATCTAGAGTATACTAATAGACAATGGTCAGCCCACAGACAAAAACTGAACTCTGACCCACGACCTGCAGCAACCCATCCAGGAAATCAGACAACCGCTGCAGCGATTTGGACCCAGTGGCCAGGACTTGATCAATGACTGACAGCGTCCCTAGTTTTTGCCCCTCCTTTCAGTTTGATAGGACCAACCAGAGAAGCTACATCTATTCCCCTAACCAGCCCCATAGGGTCGCCTTGCACATATTTAGTCCACCTACAGCTTTCCCATGCCTGCAGCCCCTGCTCAGTCAGGCACACCTGAAGACTCCCCTTCCCATCAGGGAGCTTCACCCACACACACCCCACCCCACCCCCGCCTGCCTTTGAGTTCCTGCCAGAGGCAAGTGACAGTAGCTGACTCCTTGATGCAGCAATCCAGGGAGAGCCTCTGCCTGTTCTCCTTTGGGTGGTCTACAAGTGTCACTGATGCTGAGCAACCACAGTTAAGGTGGTAATGGCCAGATCCCTCACAGGGTCGGTGACCATAAACTCTGGCTTTTCAACTTATACTGTCTGGATGTTTTGCCCAGGCACCTATATTTACAATAAAATGGTCTCATTTTTTTTCATCCAGAATTTGTGTTAATATGTGTGTCTATGGTGCATTGAAATCACATTTTTTTTTCATTTTCAGCCCAATCTATCAAAACAGAATGTGCTGTGGTTTTAAAATGATAAGGGTTGGACTGCTTTTCATTAGATATGTAGTTAATTACATTGATCCCATAAAAATAATTTTAATTTTATAATTTAAAAAGTATAAATACCATTGAAATGAGGAGGAAACCATGAGAAATGTCAAGGATAGTGGATGTGAAAGTCACCTAGTGTAGTGTAGTGAGTTGCTTGGCTGGGAAAAGAGACTTCCTGTGAGCTGGGAGGGTCTTGGTCAAAAATGCAGTCAGCCACATTTAAATCAACAATTGTAGATGAGTCCCGATACTGGAACTCAGAAAGACAAGGGTTTGCTTTTAAGCATTTAAACAAAAACAAAAACAAAAACAAAAAAACTCCTAAATCATCTGATCACCAAATACTTCCAGAGAGAGGTCTTCTAAGCCAAGGAGGCTTTTCAGCCCCACCCACTGGAATCCTGAAATCCATTATTCACTCCTCTCCCCAACCCATCAGGGACGTGTGTCCTTTCATGCAAAAGAGAAGACAGGCCCCACCTGGTCTTAGGGGCCATCTGAGGTGATGCAGGGGATGAGGCCATGCTTGCTGAGAAGCCTTTTCTGTAGCTACTTCCCAGAGCTGGGTAGGTTTGCTGATGTGGGGACCTGCGCTCCCCTCAACTTGGGGGGGATGGGGGCGGGGGTCTGGCTCTTCTCACTCCTACATTCTGTCCTGTAGGTTGGTTCAGTTGTCATACCGACTATGCCAATCAGTTAGAGGCCACTGAGTGTACCTTGGGGTGGGGGGGCACATCTCCATGCCGGGGCCCGTATGTGAATACTGAAGCAGTTTCAAGCATGGATATCATGACTGTAGCTCCTGCTGTCCTTTCTGGGGCTTTGAAGTCAATGTGCAAGAATGGGCTGTTTCTTGCTCCACTAACTAACTGCCTGGAATGGCTGGGAAACCTCCCCTGAGGTTTGAATCCCTAATGGGGGCAGGGGGCTGTTGGTGCCTGGCAAAAGGGAAAGGTTTTTGAGAACCTTAACCTCTTCCACTACAGCCAAGATTGGTTGCACATTGGCTGCACCTCGGGGGGGAGGGGGGGAGCTGCAATTGTTGCATGCATGTATTGCTCTGAGCATCCTCTAGCTGTGCCGGCTTTTGCCATTGGGTACATGCAGCCACCGCCTTGATTTGCTCGGCCAGTTTTTTCCCTGGGAGCTGGAAAGGTGGCACAGTGATGACCTTACTGAGTAGGTCAGTTCCTGTTTGCAGATGGATGTCCTAAAGGCTTTAATCAAACTCTTTGAACCTGATCAGCTCTGGCAATTATCTTCTCCATTGGATCCAACACAATGCCAAGGAGGTTGTCAGGAACTTGGTCCCAGCTACAGGAACACAGAAAGTCAAGAGTCCTATGCTTTCTCTCATATGCAGAAGGTAGAGAGAAAAAAGGAAAAGGGGGTTCTTACGAAAATAGAGGGGATACAAGTAGGGTCATTGAAGGAGAGCAAGGGGGTGGAGTGCAGAAGGGCAAGAGGAGGCACTGGGGAAATCAATCAAACTCAGTTGTGTGCATGCTTGAATATGCCACAACAAAAACAACTATAGTGTATAGTTTTACCAATTAAAACTCTTTCTTGTAGCAGCGGGGAGAGCTTTAAAGTGGGCTCAGGCCCATGAGCTGGGTCTTCAGCATTCTGCACATCTCTAGCCCCTGTGGGAGCATCAGCCTGCCCTGCTCAGTGATGAGCTCCGTGTCTGAGACTTGCCAGATCCTTGCACACATCTGGGAGGGTGACGTGTCCAGCATTACAGGCTGCTGCAGCTGCTCCTCCAGAAAATGTCCCAAAAGTATGGTGACGCATGCCTACAATCCAGCAGCTCAATGGTTAGGTGACCCTGGGATCAATCCCCTCAAAGGTTAATAAAATAGGTACTTGTCACTCGGTTTTTTAGGTACTTGTCACTCCGTTTTTCTGTATGCTTAACAAAACACTGTTGAAATCTTAAGAACTGTTTGCTAATCTTGTTCCCAGAATGTGCTGTCCCCAACTGCCAAACTGCAGAATGTAACTTCCCTCCCTGCCCTCTCCAAGAAAAGTATATAAGCTCTGCTTAAGCTGTTCTCAGGGCTCTTTGCTCTATTCGAGTGAGCTCTGAGCCCCAGCATGCTGGACCCCCAATAAACCCTTTGCTGTTGCATGAGACAGTCTCTTGGTGGTCTCTTCCTCCGACGCTCGCCTGACCTTTACATTTGGAGGCCCCAGCGAGATCCGGCAGCGGCGGACGTAAGACCCCAACGGGCTCCTCTCGGAGTAAGTAAGGCGCAAGACCCCAACGGGCTCCTCTCGGGGTAAGGCGCCTCTTTCTGGTTTCTGCTTTCTGGTTTCTGCTTTCTGGTTTCAGGTTTCAGGTTAGGGCTGGCAAAGTGGCTGTCGGTGAAGAGCGTGAGCTCTCTCCGACGGTGGCTGACAGACGTGTCACAGAGCCACAGGCCACGTCTCTGGGGGACGCCCCAGAGGACTCGGGAAATCGAGGAACAATAGTCTCCTCGACTCAGTGATATTTTGTTTCGGATTCGGTATTGCCAGCCCATCGGGTTTTGCCGGCTACTCAGTCCTGTCTCAGTGTTGAACGTTTACTGTCTGTCTTTATCGTCTGTGTCGTGTGTCCTTGCTTTCACTGTTTGTGTATCTTTCATTATGGGACAGAGCACTTCAACGCCTCTGTCCCTGACCCTTGATCACTGGACCAAAGTCCACTTAAGGGCTCAGAATCTTTCTTTTTCAGTAAAACGCCGGACCTGGCAGACTCTCTGTGCCTCAGAATGGCCTACCTTTGGAGTCAGATGGCCCCCAGAAGGATCTTTCTACTTCCCACTAATTCGAAAAGTCAGAGATATTGTCTTTGTCTTTCAGCCGGGACCACATAGCCATCCAGATCAACAGCTGTATATCTTAACTTGGCAGGACCTCTGCGAATCTCCTCCTCCATGGGTGAAGCCTTTCCTTGTCCCTGCCCCCGCTCCTATTCCTTCCCCCACAATTCTATCTCTCAAGCCTTCTGCTCCTCCTCCTCCTCTACCCTCTGTTCTCCCTGAGTCTCAAGATTTGACTCTACTGGACTCTCCTCCCCCTCCTTATCCCCTGCCCTCGTCCCCCAACCCCCAACACCCTCTAAGTGATTCCCTGCTGCTGACTCAGCCTCTCCATCATTGGAGGAGGCTAAGCCGGCCCAGCGCCCTCTAGATGACTTCCCCGCGGCACACACAGCCCCTCCTCCCCTGGAGGAAGCTAGCCCAGCTAAAGGAACTCGCCGGCGGCGAATGATTAAAAACCCTGAAGCCTCCGTGATACTCCCCCTCCATCCTTACGGGCCAATGATAGACGATGGCCATGGTGGAGAAATGCAAGCCTACCAGTATTGGCCTTTCTCCTCTTCAGACATATATAACTGGAAAAATAACAATCCCCCTTTTTCCGAGGACCCCACCCGGCTCACAGGTCTGACTGAGTCATTGATGTTTTCACACCAGCCTACTTGGGATGACTGCCAACAACTCCTAGGGACTCTCTTCACGACAGAGGAACAAAAGAGAATCCTCCTGAAAGCTAAAAAAAATATCCTCAGACCAGATGGGCGACCGACACAACTTCCTCTTGAACCGACCCAACTGGGACCCCAACACCTTTGAAGGTAGGGAGCATCTGTCCACTTATCGCCGGGCTCTAATAGTGGGTCTCCGAGCGGCCGCTAAGCGACCAACTAATTTGGCCAAGGTAAGAGAGATTATTCAAGGGCCTGATGAATCTCCCTCTATGTTTCTAGAGAGAATTATGGAGGCATATAGGAGATATACTCCTTTCGATCCTCAGGCAGAGGATCAAAAGGCATCTGTCACGATGGCCTTTATTGGGCAAGCTGCCCTGGATATTAAAAGAAAGTTACAACGCTTAGATGGATTACAAGATATGACTTTGAGAGATTTGGTCAGAGAAGCCGAGAAGGTATACTATAAGAGAGAAACTGAGGAAGAGAAGGAACAAAGGAGGGAGAAAGAAAAGGAGCAAAGGGAGGATGAGAGAAGCAAAAGACAGACTAAGGCATTGACTAAGGTCCTGGTCACAACAACAAAAAGGCCAAAAATTAAGAAACAGGGAGACAGGAAGGGATACCTGGGCCCACGCCAGGGGCCACCCCTGGCCTCAGATCAATGTGCCTACTATAGAGAAAAAGGACACTGAGCCAAAGAGTGCCCTAGAAAGAGACAGCCACGCCAGCCAGCCATTCTGACTCTGGAGGATGACTAAAAAAATCGAGGCTCGGATCCCCTCCCGAGCTCAGGGTAACTTTTGAAGTGGAGGGAACCCCAGTAAACTTTGAAGTGGATACAGGGGCAATATACTCAGCCCTTAAGGCCCCATTGGGCCCTCTATCAAATAAAAGTTCTCTAATTCAAGGGGCTAACGGCAGTAAATATCAGGCTTAGACAACTAAGAGGACCATGGACCTGGGGAAAAGAAAAATCCATCACTCCTTCCTAGTGATCCCAGAATGCCCGGCCCCATTGATGGGCAGAGATCTGCTCACCAAGCTCCAAGCCAAAATAACTTTTAACCCTGAAGGCCCCCAAATGAAATTTATAAATCCTTCAGTAAAAACTCCTATAGTCATGGCTTTAACTATGTCAGTAAAAGATGAACATCAACTCTTCACACCCCCCAAGACTGATCAAACAGGCAAGCTACCCCAGAAATGGATAACAGATTACCCGGATGCCTGGGCAGAAACTGCTAGGTTAAGCCTAGCCGTGAAACAACCTCCAATAACAGTAGAGTTAAAAACCTCAGACTCCCCAATTAATGTCAAACAATATCCTCTGAGCAAAGAAGCTAAAGATGGGATAGGGCCCCATATTCAGAAATATCTGGCCTTAGGGGTCCTAAGGCCCTGTCAATCGGCCTGGAACACTCCCCTGCTACCAGTAAAAAAGCCAGGAACCGGGGACTATCGCCCCATTCAAGACCTAAGAGAGATCAACAACAGAGTACAGGACATTCACCCCATGGTACCTAATCCATACAATCTGCTTAGCACTCTAAACCCTGAACGAAAATGGTATACTGTACTGGACTTAAAAGATGATTTCTTTTGCTTGCCTCTGCATAAAGATAGTCAGTTGCTGTTTGCTTTCGAGTGGGTAAACCCAGAAACCGGAACGTCTGGTCAACTAACTTGGACCAGACTCCCACAGGGGTTCAAAAACTCCCCCACTCTCTTTGATGAAGCCCTCCACAGAGATCTCAACAACTTCAGAACTACGCACCCCGAAGTCACCCTGCTTCAATATGTGGATGACCTGCTACTGGCAGCCGACACCAAGGAAAACTGTGAGTCTGGGACCTAAGCACTATTATCCGAGCTTGCTTAACTCGGATATAAAGCTTCTGCCAAAAAGGCCCAAATTTGCCAGCAAGAAGTAATCTTCCTGGACTATTCCCTTAGGGGCGATAAACGATGGCTCACTGAGCCCAGAAAACAAACCGTTGTGCAGATACCACCCCCATCTAACAAGAGGGCAAATAAAGAGGCAAAATTGGCAGCCCTAAACAGAGTAACCATGTTAACACTTTCCACACCGGGGGAACATAAGTCAGGAGATTTAACTACGTCGGAGCACCCCGACAACTTAACATCTAAGGACACTGACACTGAACTCCTTGACTTTACTGAGCCCAGCCTGAAATTTCAGAAAGCCCTACACTACGTTAAAAATGTACATCAACTCACTCACCTTGGTTCAAAGAAACTGCAGGCATTCCTGAAAGATCAAGAACAGAGTTTTCCACTAACCAACTCACAGCGAAAAGAAATAGCTGAACGGGTAACAAAAGCCTGTCGGGTCTATCAATTGGTTAATGCTTACCCTTCCAAGCTTCCTGCAGGAAAGCACCTATGAGGAACCAGACCAAAACAATTCTGGGAAGTGGACTTTACTGAAATTAAGCCAGCAAGGTATGGACTTAAATATCTCCTAGTCTTTATAGATACATTTTCAGGATGGATTGAAGCCTTCCCCACAAAAAAGAAACGACGCAAATGGTGGTCAAGAAGATCCTGAAAGATATTTTTTCCAAGATACGGCCTGCCTAAGGTAATAGGGTCTGATAATGGACCAGCGTTCGTGGCCCAGGTAAGTCAGGGGTTAGCCAGGACCCTGGGGATTAATTGGAAGTTACATTGTGCTTATAGACCCCAGAGCTCAGGACAAATAAAAAGAATGAATAGAACCATTAAAGAGAACTTAACGAAATTAAATTTAGAGACCGGCATAAAAGATTGGACTATGCTCCTGCCTTATGCACTGTTTCGTGCAAAAAATACTCCCTCTGTTTCTTTGTGTAACCTCACCCCCTATGAAATTCTCTATGGTGCCCCTCCTCCAGTAAGGGACCTAACTCCAACTCTAAGACCTAACAATCCCTTCCACACCCCCTTGACAGACTTAAAACTCTTGAAAGAACTCAGCGATACCTGTGGAAACAGCTGGCCACTGCCTACCAACCTGGGGATGAAAGGACTCCACATTAATATCAAGTAAGAGACTTCGTCTACGTAAGACGACATCAGGTGTCATCCCTGGAACCCCACTAAAAAGGACCACACCAGGTGCTACTTATAACACCTACAGCGGTAAAGGTAGACGGAATCACTTCCTGGATCCATGCCTCTCATCTCAAGCCTGCGCCCTGTCCAGACTCTGGCTAAAAATTGAAAAAAAACTGGTAACCCTTTCAAATTGCGTATTCACCATGTTGATAGGGCTATGGACTCTCCCCTTGACCACCAGTAGTCCTAACCCTCATCAGCCCGTTCAGCAGCGATGGCTGATCACAAATCCTACTGGACAAAAAGTATAGTCTATCTCGCATACAGCCCCCTTAGGGACCTAATGGCCATCTCTCCACCCACTCACTCCTCTCTTCTCCTGTCAGTGCCCACACCGGGTCCCACCAGGTCCTCTTACCAGCTAACCCAAAGCTCAAACCATCTGAGGACAGCCCTCAGACCCCTATCCAAGATATAATGAAAATGGCCTTTAAAGTTGCTTTGTCATCACTGAAAACGGGTTACTAAAAATTTAAAGTCCCTCACAGGCTTTTTGGGATACTCACTCCCGTCTTCCCCTCTGCTCTACCTGTTCTACTACTCAAGTTTTTGTTGCTAGGAAAATCCCAAACCCCTTTCCCATTATTCTTTTACATCTCTCCTTCCTCATTCTCAGATCCACGGAGCTGCTCTCAGCCCCGCCTTCCCCGTCTTCCCCCTCTGTACCAGGCCCACAGAAAAGTCTTAACTGACCTTCTCCAGAAGTCTTCACCATGGCTGACTTTAGGACTTTCAGCAAAAGGGTCCCTATAAAAGAGTTCAATGTAGATAAACTTCCTCTTTTCGTGTTGCCCTGTTCTACTTGGCCACTGGCTAGAAAAATCAGCACTCCTAAGCTAGACACCCCCTTACTAGTTTTTCACAAAATATATAAACAAGGCCTCTGGCCTTGAGCTGGGGCTTCACAGAGATGGCTACATTTCTAAGATAAAGAAGTTACCAACTGGGCTCCATGGTAACAGCTGGCAGGAAAAAAAAAGAAAAGAAAAAAAAGCTCTCCCCCTCCCAGGTATCCTTGAAAAGTTAACTTGCCCAGAACAACAACAACAACAAAAAAACAGAAACAAAAACTGCTTTTTGTGAACTTCTGCAGACTGTGAACTTCTGAGCCCCTTCCCTTACATGTTGGGTACAAAATTCTGAAACTACCTAAACTTGGGGTTCAGGGGATTAATTGATTACAACAGAAGCAATGCCCTCTAAATCCGCTTGCAACCAAATAGGACTGTTTCCCTGTCTTCGGTGCTATCTTAGGTACCTTGCCTTGTCCGTCCCTACAACAGTATAATTCTATATACTTAAACATTGTTTATGTTTTCATAAAATGGTCAACAGATGTAATTAATTATGTAATGGTGCAGATGTTTCCCAGAGTGCTCTATCATGACGCAGTTTCATTTAAAGATCAAATAGGGGGGCATAAAACCCGGTTCCGCCGGGAACCTGTATCCCTCACTTTAGCCATCCTATTAGGAATAGGAGTTACTGCAGGGGTGGGCACAGGAACCACTGCCCTGGTCCGTGGGACACAACAAATGACCCAATTAAAAAAACAACAATAGACCAAAACTTAAAGATATTAAAAACCTCCATCACAGCTTTGCAGGAATCTTTAACCTTTCTCTCTGAAGTTGTTTTACAGAACAGGCGAAGGTTGGACCTCCTCTTCATGAGAGAAGAGGGCCTTTGTGCTGCATTGAGGAAAAAATGTTGTTTTTATGCCGACCATACTGGAGTTATAAAAAATCTATAAGTAAATTAAAAAGACGCCTTGAAGAGCGTCAACGAGAACCAAAAAGGGTGATTTGAGTCTTGGTTCACACAGTCCCCCTGGTTAACTACGCTTTTATCAGCCTTGGCCGGTCCATTAATAATCCTCATATTATTGCTAACTGTAAGACCTTGTTTGCTCAACCATGTAGTTTCCTTTCTCCAAGCTCAAATTGGACAAGTTAAACTTATGGTAATCAGACAACAATATACCCCACTAGCAGACATAAAATGTGACACCCCCCAATAATCACTTTTATGATTAAAAGTAGCCAGAAGAAGTGGGGAATGAAAGGTTAATAAAATAGGTACTTGTCACTCCGTTTTTTAGGTACTTGTCACTCCGTTTTTCTGTATGCTTAACAAAACACTGTTGAAATCTTAAGAACTGTTTGCTAATCTTGTTCCCAAAATGTGCTGTCCCCAACTGCAAACTGTTTGCTAATCTTGTTCCCAGAATGTGCTGTCCCCAACTGCCAAACTGCAGAATGTAACTTCCCTCCCTGCCCTCTCCAAGGAAAGTATATAAGCTCTGCTTAAGCTGTTCTCAGGGCTCTTTGCTCTATTCAAGTGAGCTCTGAGCCCCAGCATGCTGGACCCCCAATAAACCCTTTGCTGTTGCATGAGACAGTCTCTTGGTGGTCTTTTCCTTCGATGCTCGCCTGACCTTTACACCCCAATAGTGCGCCCCCGCCCCCCAAAAAAACCCATACATTTTATACAGTTGTGGAAAACTATTGGAAAAAACAGGAAGGAGCAATAGAGCCAGCAATTGGAAAAGAAAATGGTGCTGATACTATGGAAAGTGCTTCATGAGAATGAACAAATTATGGCAATTTGAATTATGTTGGTGGAGAAATAATAAAGAGTAACGTGACATCCAGTTAGTAGAAGAAGTTAGGGTTAGTAGAAGAAGAAGAGGAAGAATCGCCTTGGGATTGTATCTCTGGGAGTCTTCCTCAGAAGCATGTGGGCATTTATCAGGAGCTGCAGACCACGGAGGGCAAAATACAGCAAATGCACAGGTTAAAGAATCTCTAGAGAAACACCCTCACTTGAAGCCTACCATGGAAACCAAAGACTCTCTGTGAATAAGGATAGGAGCAAGGGTGTAGGAGTCCTCAGAACTCAGAACGGAGGTGGAGGGGGTGACATCACAGGAAGCACAAAGGGCAGCATGGCAGTGAAAATAATCAGCCGCAGGTTAAAGGAAACAGGAAGAAGCACAAGAGTAAGGAAATGAAAGAGTGCTGCTGTTATTGGTGACGATAATCAACAGAGGAGAAGAACTGATAACCAGCAATCCTCCTATTAAGAAGAATGGAGAACATGACAGGTAGCTTGGGAACAACCAGTAGCTTTCACTTTGCCATTGAGATCAGCAGGGACTCTCAGCTGCTCCCCAACCTGTCCTTGGGTGTCCACCTCTAGAAGGACTTGTGCAGGGAACAACTGTAAAACAATTTCTTGCCCAGCCGATAAACACCCTCCAGAAGCAGGATATGCCTTGAGCGCCTTTTCTGGCTTGGAGAGACTGAGCTTTTAATCTAATTACAACTGTCAAGACCCAGAATAAATCCATCACCACTGCAGGAACCACGCCAACATTTTCAGCAGACCTCTGAACTCTTTGGGTCACGTGTGGTCCTTCAGATGCTAAGTGACAAAGACTGCTTTCCATCACTCTTATAATAAGTGTGACCACTAAGGACAGCTCTCTGGACCACAGAATGATGTCATTTTGGCTTCACTATGGCTGGGCATGGGTGGCACTCTGTATCTGATGAGAGGAAAACAGTTCCTTCAGGATCTGGAAGCAAAGATGGTAAAGAAAGGCACCCGTGTGGCCTTTACAGAAACACTCCATGCCACTAAATGCATGGATCAGTGCTCTCTCTCTCATGACTAGGACCAGAGTGTCACCCACAAGTGTGCACAGACTATATGATGATGGGGTGGGGGTGGGGGAGCTTATTGTTGTGGACATTGCAGGAAATTTTTTTAAATGGCAGGGAAGATGTGGATTATTCCAGAAAGGGGACAATATTAATGTGAAGGTTACCGCATGCTGTTCCCTTTCCCTTTTCATTTCCAACCACACCCAACAGCACTTTCTCAAGGCTGTTAACCCTTCCCAACTCCCGGACTTTTATGTAAGTAAACTGTAGTTCCAAGTGTTTGATGGCTCACCTCCTCCTGGTTCACTACGTGGCAAAGTTGGAGTCTGACCACCAAATCCTTCCTCAGACTTTATGCCAAGAAATGCCAAGTCGTGACTCCAGCTATTCCATCTTCAAGGCTGTGTTGGTATGCCCAAGTCCTCCTTAAAATGCTTTTGGAGACGCTAGAAAGAAAATCTCCAGGAGATGCTGATCACCTTATATTTCCTCCCTAGCAGATAAATGCCCTCCAGAAGCAGGACATGCATTGAGCGCCCAAGAGCATCTACAGACATTTTATTGAGGTGTAACACCATGTTTCCATCTCAAGATCAGCAGGATCAGATAAAATGGAAGACGGGCTCTTTCACACTGTGTACAGATATCTCTGTCACTGTTATTGGCATCTGGAGAAATCTGCCCCTGGGACCTTCAGTTTCAAACTAATTAGAAATTATATCCAAACATATTTTCTAATACAGGATGAAATGCTATAAAATGTCTAAATACGGGGCTAGGGTTGTGGCTCAGTGGCAGGGTGCTCACCTAGCAAGTGTGAGGCACTGGGTTCAATCCTTGGCAGCACAGAAAAATAAAGACATTGTGTTCCCTACAACTAAATATATATATATATATATATATATATATATTTTTTTAAATATCTAGGGGCTGGGGCTGTGGCTCAGCGGTAGCACACTTGCCTGGCATGTGAGAGGCACTGGGTTCGATTCTCAGCACCACATGAATACATAAATAAAATAAAGGTCCCTCAACAACTAAAAAAAAAATATATCTAAATACAACTCATGGCAAAACACAGGGAGATAAAACTAGGTTACAGCCATGCTTTTTCTAAGAATGCATCCAATGCAAGAAAATAAAGACAGCAGCTATTTCATCTGGAATACAGTATATTTTGTGGCACAAGCCCTCTTATTTAAGTCTAGTTTTGCAGGTCTGGCTCAGCATATTAAAATAGAATGTTCTGTGGTTTCAAAATGACAACCTTTGGCCATCTTTACATAACTTCAAAATTCCTTTTAATTTGAATTTTTTTTAAATGCCACAAAGTACCATTAAAAAACATAATAAAGCATTTTAATCCTGAGAAAATGTATACTGCACGTAAATGTCACCATGTATAGTGTCTGGCACACAGGAGGTGCCCTACAAAGATCAGAGCCTATCCCACAGCAGGACACAGTACACAAGATTCCAGGGCAGGGCGGCCCTTTTGTCTTTGGGTTCCATTCAGTCATGACCCCCAGGGCACTGCTGCCTCACAGCACTGAGGGTTGGCAGGAAGGCCTAATCCTCTGTGGAAACAACAGCTGCCTTCCTCTTGGTGACATCTGTGACACACTCTTCCCCTCCCTTCCCTGGACCACTGAAGACCAAGTGTCCCTTCCTCCAGCCTCCTCTCTTCAGGCTCAGAATACCATCAGCATGGAGGCCAGGTGAGCGCTCTTCCTGTAGAATGCCAGCAAAAAGACCTTCCATTTCCTGCAGCTGCAGGGCTGGGTCTTCTTCCCTTATCCCCCAACCCCAGCTGGGTGGTGCAAAGCAGGACCTGTGTCTGGCTCAACAATCAACAGATTTAAGTTCCCTGTTCTAGACTGCCTTTAAAAACTAACGCCAAACTCCAAAATGCTATGGGTCAGGTCACATGGCCCTAGCATGCCTATTCCCCGCCACACACCCACCCCCCCCACACACACCCTTTGGCAGCCTTCTTCTCTGAGGGGCTCTCTGGTATTTTAGTTGTACCTGAGCTCTGGCAGCCACAGGCCACACCTTCCAACTTCCCCTCATTTCCCCTTTCCCACCATCCTGAACACGGACTTGAAGCTCAAGCAGGCCATGTCAGGGGCCCTACAGTACTGGGTGATGCAACAATGTGATGCTCTGAGGTCCCACATGGTTCCACGCCAGGTAGGGGGACCCTCCCACCCAAGGCCTGAGAACATTCAGGGACCCCCCGCCCCCCGAGGGCTTAGCTCACGCCTCTTTGCTGCTCATGGCTCGGCCCATGTCTTCGAATGGCCCCACTGCAGCCAGCACCCCACAAAACACGGGACAGTCAGATGGGAAGGGAAGGGAGTCAGAGAGGGTGTGACAGCAGTAGGTAAAAGGGACCTCTGCCCACAGGAGCAGGAAAGGACCTCACGCACCGGCCAGTCCAGCCACATGCTGCACAGGAGGAATGCAGGGTGCACCTGGGGAAGGCGGGACACAGGGATTCAGGGATCTACACACCAGGCATTACTGAAATTGACCTTTATTTTGTTGTACTAAAACTTTTTGATACAAAGTAACATTTTAGTACAGAACATCCCAGGCTGTCAGATCCGTACCCGCCTGCACACCGCCCATCACAGCCCGACCTGCCTGCAACGTAGAAAAACAGCGTGCAAGCAATGCCTCGAGAATGGTCTACACTTTTTCTCAGTTGTCTGGGCTAGAAAACTTGTACCTGGAAAACAAAGGACAGCACTGAGGACTGAGACTTGTTTCTCTTTTGAACAGCTGTGCAAGAAAATATATCCCTTTTTTAAAAAAAAAAAAATGTCAGTAATGACTAAACTACAATCTAGTTTCTAGAATTACAAAGAATCAAATCAAAGACACCTTGCTATTAAAATGAAATGTTAGGAACAGTATTAAAATATAGGTCCTACCCCAACGACACTTATGCGGAGCCCGGTACAGTACCTATTAACAGGACACACTGTTTAAGGAGGAACCACATCAAATCTTCAGCCAGACTCGCCCGGCATGGGAAGTGCAAAGGAAAGAAAATGAGAGAAGCCCAAATGAGCCCAAAGTAACCCAACAAAGGCCAAAGTCAGGCCCATGCTGTGAGCCCTGGGACCAAGATGAACAAGGTCACAGGTTTTCTTTTTAGATATTCAATAGTGGCTACGCTAACCATTAAACTCCCCCTACAAGCTCTCATTCAAACATCTGAAACGTGAATGTTTTCACATCCAAAAGAACGGATGCGCCTGCCCTGCTCCGCGAAGCTGAAAAAGGCCATCGGGGCTCTCAGAACCTCGAGGGGTGCCATGGCACGCGTCCACCCTTGCTTGACACTCTGCCTAGGACCCAGCCCTGCGGCTGAGACCTGACGGGGACATGATGGACCAGGCAGAATGTTTAAATAACAAATACAGCTGAAAAAGAGTCAGGAGACCGATGAGCGCTTGGGGGGTGAAGAAACAGGAGGGAAAGGCCAAGAGGCGAGTTTGTGAGGATGCCCAAGCTGCCCTCCCGGGTATGGGAGGAAAATGCAGCGCCGGCGAGTTGGCCCCACCCAGGCACTGGTTCTGCCATCTCCAGCAGTCTGAGCACCTGAAGTGACAAAGTCCTTCCAGGAGAGGTACCGCCTCTGAGGAGCAGGAAGTCTGCCGAAGCTCTGGTCCCACTGACAAGAACCTCCTGAGGCGGGGCAGCCCGCCCCACCCCCCAACCCAGTGAGGTTCCAGGGTCATTTGGGGAACAAAAGCAACAGGGGGCGGAAGGGGTGGGGTGGGCACCAGCAGCATGGGGCGTCCACGTAAACATAACCACCAGATACTTAGAAAAGGCTTGTAAACTTGTGATCTGAAAGGCTCTCTGTGCAGCATCACTGATTGGCTGGCTATAGGAAGGTGGGTGTTGTACCCCTCTATCAAGTCTTTTGCGTTTTCTGCTTTGTTTTGTCTTAAAGCACATGTGAGAGGAGCAGTCTGCCGGCCTGGGCCCAGATCCGAGCCGCCAACCCCCTCTGTCTACACTACAAAGGAGGGGCTTCTGGAGTCCTGGTTCTGGATCCTTCCCCTGCATGTCCATAAACAGGCCCATCTCTGTTTTCAGCTGCTGGAGAAGAGCGAGCCGATCTCCCCACCAGCGGGCCGGTCCAGTCGCCGCCTGGTGCCCACTTCCCTTAGAGCGGGCAGGCGGGGATCCACAGGACTTTACTTTGTTCTTGATTGACGGTTGCCAAGATCTGAGTGCAAATGCTCGACAGGGCTCCTCCCTGGACGACCCCTGCAGAAGAGCCCCCCAAACACACACAGGCCATTCAGCTCCAAGGAAACACTGCTTTGAGGTCAATGAAAACAGTGTGCCCTCTCCACTTCGTGCCCAACTTCATTAAGCAAGGCAGGGCTCCTGTCCCACCCCACCCCGCAACTCTCCTCCCTCTGCCAGAAACTGGGCAAGAGAAGGAAAAGCAACTGCCCCTGAGGAGGTGACCACTCCCAAATAAAGTGTCTGCCCCACTACAGAGGGGTGACGCAGCACGTGGGAAGCAGCGTGGGGACGTGGCAATATCCCTTTGGCAGAAGTACTGAAGTACTCTACAGAAAATAAGGAGAGGTCTAAGGAACCAGGCGTCCGTGGCCTGGAGAAGAGTCCCAGCAGAGGTGAGGTGTGGAGCCGGGGGACCACTGACACCAGGCTAGGGCTGCTCCCAGTGTGCTCCACAGAACAGCATAGTTGGCAAAGCCCCCTCCCCCCCCCCCGGGCTGTGACAAGGAGCACTCAGAAAGTGACAGCATTTAGAATGCTCTGGGAATGGGATGGTGCAACTTTATGTCTGTTGAATGCAATAAAAAAAAAAAATAGGGATTTTTTTATAAGTTGTAGCGTTTTCATATTTCATTTTTCTAGGAGTCATTTACCTATGTGACTAAAGCACTGGGCGGTGGTGAAGTGGAAATTAAAATCGCATGCGTGCACAGTGCGTGTGCACAGAGACAAGACCACACTGGGTCCTGGACTTGCCCTACAGGAAGCACCATACCAGATGACAACGTTGCACAACATAGTTAAACCCCTGACCCCTCCTCTCTCTGGCCTCATGCTAACCCCATGCAGGTGGCTGATTCTACCCCAGCGGCTGAAATGCAGAAGGTGAGATGGCAGCAGGGGAGTGGGAGCCCCGCTTCTGCGGACCTGGCTAACTTTACAAAGCAGAGACGGTAAGAGCACAGCTTTTCCTCACCAAATCCCAAGGCAAAACTGGCCTCCCCTGGAGGGGTGGGGGACAGAGGCCACATGCACCGCTGGGGGCCTCTCAGGCTTCCCAAGTGCCCAGGACACTGCAGCTGTGCGGCACAGCGGCCTTGCTGCGAGCACTGGGGCAGACGAGGCCAGACCATGACCTGAGGCCAGCCAGGGGGCTGAGCGCTCCTCCCTGGGGAAAGCCGGACTCTGCCTGCAACTGCACCCCAACAACTCACCTGTCCAGGAGGGGGGCTGCCACCTGTTCAGACCAGGCTGGCTGTGGAAACCCGTGTCCATCCCCCCATCCAGGCTGGTCACCTACCTGTGAAGTACCTGCTGTACTCCTGTTCAATCTTCTGAGCTGTCTCAAACTGCTCTTTGGAATGCCTCTGTGTCACCTTGTCCCTCAGGTAGATGGGATCTCTCTGCTCCCTGTTGGGACAGTCGGGTAACCAGGCTGAGCCTCAAGTCTCCCCAGGGCGTTCGTCTTTGTCCAGGGCAGCAGGGGCTCCAGCAAGGCAGGGGCGAAGGCAGGGGCGGAGGCAGGGGCGGAGGCAGGGTGCTCCACCACAGAGCAGGTCCCCGGGGAAGGTGGGCACCTGGCACATGCACAGGCAGCCAGAAGGCACCGGGCACATGCGGGAGCACACAGCACAGGGAGGCCAGGCGTGGAGGGCTAGTCGTGAGCAGGACCGGGCAGACCCAGCCCCAGCCACCCATTGCACACTGAGAGGAAAGGGGGAGGATGGGAGGAGGGAGGCAATGCACACAGAGATGGCCATGCTCAGGAACTGGCCGGGTGGCCAGAGCCACAGCTGGCGTGGACCCTGGCTGAGCCACAGAGGCCAGGCACCTACTTGATGTGCTTGGCACTCTTGTAGTGGATGAAGATGACGATAGGGTAGATATGCATGTGGTGCAGGCGCTCGATGGCGTGGGGGGCGACGTCCAGGAGGCAGTGTCGGTTCTGTGGGGCGGGTGCAGACTAAGTGTGGAGGGCAGGCAGGGGCCAGTCTTCAGCAGACATCTTCCGCGCTGCTCTTCTGACACCAAGGGGGCGCCACTCCCCCAACAATCCCCACTGCCTCATCCACCTCTACGTCCCTCCACAACGGAGAGGAGATGCGAAAGAGGCAGCAGAGCCAGTCTCTCAGAGGGCCACACAGATGACCCGCAGGGAGACCTCACCCAGGAACGTCTCCCCACACGGGCAGTTCTGATAGCTGTCACAGCCCGGAACAGAGGTGAGTGGCTGGCCAGCCCAACTCCAAACTTCCTGTCCTATCTCTGCCTTGATGTAGGGACCTTCCTACAGCCCCAACCCACCCCAGCCCCACAGACACTCTGCCAGACTAGGGGAATGGGCACATGCACATTTGTGCGGCTGTGACTGGAATACATCCCACAGGTCCCCTGAGACTCCTGGGTGGCTGCTTTGCCAATACACCCTACAGCTGCCCCCTCCTCTTGCTGCCCAGTGCATAAACCCCAGGACATCAGAAGCATCAGATCCTGTCAGATCCTGCTGTCCTTCTTGGGAGCAGGGACCTGTCAGAATGTTGCTCCCAGTCCCTAAAAACTGCCGAGGAGTTCAGAGTCTGCTTTCAGGGTCCCTGTCCTAGGATGCCCCGCGAGAGGACTTCCCCCACAGTCCCGGGCTCTTCTCAGACCCCCTTCTCATGACACCACCGGGAAACTTGCGTGCTAGTCATGCCACAGGAGCACACACCCCGGGGCTCCCACAGGCCCTCGGCTCAGACCACAGGTACCTTTTCTGTGATCTCCTTTATTGAAGCCACCGTGGTCACATCAAAATGGCCGCTCCTCCGCTTATAGTCGACAAACAGGCAGTCTTTAACGCCCCGCTCAATGGCCTGCTGGGAAGCCTTCATCACCTCTGCAAGGCACAGGCATAGAGGTCAGGGTGCCCAGGGCCTGCAGAGCCCTGACGGAGCGAGGATGAACACAGCATAGCCACCCTAGGGGCCCCTACTGCTGTCCTCTCTGGGAGGCCACAGGCAGGTCCTGAGTCAGCAGGGGGTTGGCAGGTGGACAAGGACAGACACAACCCAGTGAATGGGCTCCAAGGGCAGCCCCTTACCCAGCGGGCATCTGCAGAACTTGCCAGGAGCCTCGTTTATCAGCATTTCCTTCACCACATCCAGCAGAGGCCCCAGAATCAGGACAGGCCTCAGGGAGGTGCAGTCCACCTTCTGGACCCGCTGATAGGCCAGACTCACTGAATCTGAGGGAGAGAGCACGGCAGTGTCACGGCCCAGCATGGAACAGAGGGCAGGGGTAGGACTGGGCACCCTGCCCACTGACCTCATCACCCCGGGTAGGCCCACCCCCTTCACACATGCAGAGCCAGGGAGGGTGGCACACCTGTCTGGTTTTCCTGGGACTTCCCCAGCTTTAGTGCCAGCAGTCCCACAGCCCGGGCACACGAGGGCACAGTCCCTCTTGAAGCCCAAACACACCCTCCCTCCCGGGCCATGGGTGCTGACCATCGCAGAGCTTCCTCGTGCCCCAGGCCTGCTGCACCTGCCAGATCTCCTGTGCTCCCTGACACAGCAGCTGTGACTCTGACCCAGATGTGCCAGTGGGTGACAGAGAGGCACCCTAGGCCCCGGCCCATGGGGCAGAATGGGAGGATGCTGTGAACCAGCTCTGACCATGCAGATAGGGACAATCCTTAAAATGACAAGCCTCATCTCACACCAGTCAGAATGGCAGTCATCAAGAATGCAAATAATAAATGCTGGAGAGAATGTGGAGAAAAATGAATTTTTTTACACTGTTGGTGGGATTGTAAATTAATACAACCACCTTGGAAATCACTATGGAGAAGCCTCAAGGGACTAGGCATGGAACCACACATGACCCAGCTATAACCACTCGTTGGTATTTAGCCTAAAGAATTAAAGTCGTCATACTACAGTGATATACACACATACCCATGTTTATAGCGGCACAATTCACAATAGCCAAACTATGGAACCAGCCTAGGTGTCCATCAACAGATGAATAGATAAAATGTATATTCACAGTGGAATTGTGTTCAGCCATAAAGATGTCATTTGCAGGAAAATGGATGGAACTAGAGACAATGGTGTTAAATGAAATTAGTCAAACTGAGGTCAATGGTTACAGGTTTTCTCTCATTTGCAGAAAATAGAGGAAAAGGGGGGGGGGAAGGTGGGAGCAGGTATCTCATGAAAATCAAAAGGGAGATGAGTAGAGGAAAGGAACCAGGAATGGGAGGCAGGGAGGAAGGAGGGAAGTGCTAGGGAGTGATACTGTCGGTCGTGTGCATGTACGAATATGTAGCCACAAATCCCATCATACGTACAACTATAATGCTCCAATTAAAAACGGCGGGGGGGGGGGGGGGCAAAAAAAATGACAGAGCCATGTAGCTGAAGGGACCTGGGACCTATGATGGTTCCCGAGACAGAGCTGCCTCTCCCCAGACCACCCTTCAGCTGAACCTGCACATGGCAGAGAAAATGCAGCCCCGTCGGGCTGAACCACTGCTATTTGGGCTCAAAGCAGTCAAACCAGTATCCCAGCTGATACATGAAATGAGCTTCCCCTCCCACCACATGCACAAGAAAATCCTTGCAGGAAGAGACTGCCTAGAACCAGCGAGCACAGTGCTCCTTGGCGTCTACCTGGAGTACACCGTGTGCTGGCATCTCAGACACAGAAGGTACAAATCCCTGCCATTCAAGAGCTCAGACTCTGACCAGGGCCATGAGATGGCAGCACCAGACACCAGGGCCAGAGCTGCTTGATGATTCCAGGCAAGAGCAGAGGGCCCAGGGAGCAGTGTGGTGCGGCAGCACAGAGGCTGGATGGGAGGACTGGAGACCACAGGGCAGGCCCTCGAGGATAGCAGGCTGAGCTGAGCCAAGGAGAGGGCGGAGGAGAGGTGGGGGACAAGGAGGGGATGGCTGGGTAGGAAGAACCTGAGTAGCTCTGCAGAACAGGCTGTGACAAGGAAACGGGAGCAGGGACCTGGTGCTGTGACAGGAGCAGCAACCCTGTGGGAAGCACTCAGGAAGAAGGGACAAGGCTCCCTGCCCTCACTGCACCCCAGCACATGTTGTTCTAAAATGGACGATCATCCACGTGCACCCGGCTTCCTGGGAAGCTGTTGCCGGCCAGCCAATCTGCTGTTTGAAAAGCATGGGGAGGACTTGGTGGCCACATTCACTGCCCTGGAACCCCCGTGCAACTTCTCTTTTAAAGATTAAACCTTCACAGATGAAGCCAGCACCCTCCTGTTGCCCATCCCCAGCCCCCTCCTCAGAGACCACCACTAATGTGAGCAGAAGTTTACCCTTCCATGTGTTATTCTTGTAAGGGGATTGCTATATGCTTGGGAAAAATCTAGAAAATGTATGTATGTGTGTGTGTGTACGTGTGTTCAACAAAAAAGATATGACACTGTACATGCTTTGCAATTCCTCCTCTCCCTGGGTAGTTTCTACAGCGTGCTGGTGCTAATTCATGCTGACCTCGATTCCTTCTGAAGAGCCTACATATGAACCTGCTTCCAACCCAGGTAGAGGGCTGCTACCAAGAGGCTGGGGACTTGGGCAGTTTTTGGAACTCTCTAAGACTGGTGAGACCAATATGGAGCTTAGGACAGCTCAGGCAACCAGAACTGAGAAGCCACAGTTCCAGAGGGAAGGGAAGAGGCACAGAACTGAGTCTGATATCAGCAGTTTTCCATGAAAACCACCTGCCAAATTCTTAAGCTGTGAGGAGCAAGAGGCAACAGATTTAAGAAGCCATGAATTGCAGAGTCCTTGCAGTCCTGTGGTACTGAAGGGAAATGCTCGTGCCCAAAGGAGGAGGGGCCCTGTGCAACGGCTCAGGCCCCCCAGATGACCCAGGCCCCCCGGACCAGTGTGAAGCAAACTGCACAAAAGCTGCTGCCAGTCTGAAGCCATCTCAACCCCTGCCTGGGCCAGGTGAGCTGCCACCAGTGCCGGCTCTGGAGCAGGGGTCCAGCCCTCTCCAGAAGATAGGAACATCATCCAGGGCTCGGACATTCTTAGAAGTTCTGACATTTTAATCAACAATGTCCAGGATTCCAAGCAAAAAGACAACAGACACACTGGCAGTTTCTGAAACTAAGAACACACTGGATATGACAGAAAAGGGGGATAATGCCTAGGGAAAAGGCCCCAGAAAATATCCAGGGTGGCTAAAGCACAGAGAGAAAAACAGATGGAAAGTAGAGGGGCACAGAATGCAGGGGACAGAGGCATCCCAAGGCCCATCCAAGAACTAAGGTGCAAGAGAGGCGAGAGGAGCACAGAAACAGTCTCAAAGAAATGCTGAGAGCCATAGCCCAGTAGGAATGACGCATGGCATTTTTGGTTGAGAGGTGACACCAGCAAGCCATTGAGATGATAATGGTTATGTTAAGATGCGTATTCAATTGGATATTAGACCCCTGCTGTCCTATGAGGGGATTCCCGGAGAGTTCCCATTGGTTGGGGAAGTGCGGGAGGAGGGATTTCCGGAGGAGGGATTTCCGGTTGGTGTGGTGTGTCCCGGGAGAAGGCCGCATGCGCGTCATTCGCAGGAGTTTGGAAATAAAGTTTGTTCCTGCTTGAGTGGCTTGTGGTTTTGTGCCCAGCCAGACTGCGGCAAAGAAACAATGGCAGGACTTATCCACAACGTCAAGCTACAGATCTAAAAAGTGTTAAGAAGCACGTGAGCAGGATACACCACCAAGGAAACTGCCCACAGGCAGACACCACAGTGTGACTGCTGAGAAACCGAAGATCTAGAACAGCCAGGAGCCTGGGGAGCGCGTTATCTTCTGCACAGAACTAAGAGAAAGCCCACCCTCCCCAGGAATACCAGGTGGCAGCCCCCAAAGTGCCCCCAGAATCGGCTTCCTAGCCCCCAGAACGTGTGACTGCTGCCTTCTATAACAGGAGGTAAGGCTCTCAAAGAGGAAGGGCTTTTCCTGGATCAGCAGGGTGGGCCCTACAAGCAAGCCATCAGGTGTGTCCTGAGAGGTAGAGGGAGTTTGGGGACAGACATGCATGGAGGAGAAAGTAATGTGAAAACAGATGACAGAGAGGTTTGAAGATGGTGGTGATGTGGCCTCAAGCAGAAAAATGCTGGCAGCCACCAGGAGCTGGAAGAGGTCAGAACTGAGGCTCTGCTCCATCCTTGGAAGGATGCCAGCGGCCCTCCTGACAGCTGGATTTCAGTCCAGGATGCTGATTTTGGATTTCTGGCCTCCAGAATCAATGAGAGAACAAATGCGTGATGTTTGAAATCACATAATTTGTGAAAATTTGTATGGCAGCCATAGGAACCGAATATGCAGTAAGAGCCACAGACGGTGAAGGACAACTTTAAAGTGCTTCAATTGTCAGTCCTTGTATCCCTGGGTTCTGTGTGCATGGATAACACTGCAGACTGAAAAGATTCTGGGGAAAAATTACATCTATGCTGAACACATACAGACTTTTGTCATTATTCCCAGAACAATATAATCTAACAGCAACTGACATCACATTTATACTGACTACATACTATAAATACCAGAGATAACTTTAAGTGGACAGGAGCATATGGGCAGGTTATATGCAAATACTGTGTCACTTTATATAAAAGGACTTGAGTCTCTGAATATTTTATCTGCAGAGGGGCATAGAACCAACCACCCACAGATACCCAGGGACAACTGTGAACACCAGTCATAAATTTCCATATCCAAAGAGTATTTCTGAAAACAATGTAACACAGACATTTTGAGACAACACCGTCTTCCACCTAGGGTGCCTTATATGGTGGGAGAGAATGCATCACCCACAAACCTGCACTACAAGGCATGCTCAAGGGAATTGTTCACAAAGAAAACAGAACCAGAAGGAAGCACAGAAGTGCAGGAAGGAACAAGGGTGGGGAAAGGGCACAACAGGTGGCTGTTCTACAAACCCATAATGCTGGCTTGGGTTTGAAACACACGGAATTAAAGTGGTAACAATACAAAAGTTGGGAAGGTGGTACATGGAGTTAGAGGGCCCAGTGTCACTAGGGCAGTGGTCACAGCAATGCCTTATGTTAGCAACAAGTCAAAGAAGCATGCTATGAGGGCTATGGAAGCCCCCACAAGATAAAAACCAGTAACTAAATAAAAACCAGTAACTAAGAACAAGAGATGTGGTAGGAACAGAATAATAAAAATAATTGATTGATCCAAAAAAAAAGCAAGAAGGGAAAGACAAAGAAATATAAAATGTGTTGGACAAACTACATTTTCATCAAGATTCAACACCCTGATTAAATAATAAAGGCACAAGGCACAGTGGTGCAAAACCATAATCCCTGCTACTCGGGAGGCTGAGGCAAGACGATTGCAAGTTCAAGGCCAGCTTCGGCAACTAAGCCAGATTCTTGTCTCAAAATAAAAAGGGCTGGATATACGGCTCAGTAATAGAGCACCCGTCCCCAGTATGCAAAACAAGCAAACAAAACCCAAGAATATTGCTCATTATGAACACTCATCCTGTTCGCTTTTCTGGAAATGTATGTGTACTCTGTGGTACACGTGTCACATTGAAAAGGCAGACTGCCATGTGCATTAAAACACACACACACACACACACACACACACTGCTTATAAGTAATATGTAAAGTCGAAAAAGTTTAAAAGGAAAAAGAAATTTGAGAACACCAACAAAGAAAAAACTAGTGGGAAAATAAAAAGACCACACAAAATAAACTTTTGGGCAAGAAACAATACTTGAAAAAGTACATTGTATAATGATAAAAGGGTCAACCTGGCAGGAAGAGGCAACAATCCAAGAGGCATATGTACAACTTCAAAATAAACAGTGCCCCAACCTGAAGGAAGAAAGGAAGAACAGGAGGAGGGGTACTTTTCAAAAATGCAAACACACCCACTATACACATGCCCACACAGCACAGATGGTGAGGACTGTGAGAGCAGAGACCAAAGGAATGAAGAGGGAAAAAAAAGAGAGAGAGAGAGAGACCTTGCCCTGACTGGCAGGTCAGCAAATTGAGTCTTAGAAGGGAAATATTTTAGGCTCTGAAGGTGAAAAGGCAAGAGGGAACCAGTCACCACCAAAAGGCCAAGGGTGGTTTCCACTGTGTCTAGAAATATAAAGTTCCATGCTTGCTTGACTCATCGGCTGTACAAAAACCAGATCTGGCCCAGGGGCTGTGGTCTAACGACTAGGCTTGAGACCTAATTTTTAAAATATAGAAGGAAGGACTAGGGTTGTGGCTCAATGGTAGAGCGCTTGCCTAGCATGTGCAAGGGCCTGGGTTCGATCCTCAGCACCACATATAAATAAATAAATAAAAATAAAGATATAAAAAAAATAAAATAAAGAAGGAAGAAGGGGAGGCTAGGATAGAGAGGGAAGGCAGCAGCCCTGCCTTCTGCTGCTCAGTGCCCCGCACTGTGTCCACCTAGGAGGACACATGCTCTGGACAGTGGACACACGGGGTCCCGGGAGCCACGAGGGCCCCCTGCTTCACGGGACAAATATGTCCTTTCCACGAGGCCCACATGCCAGAGATGCCTGACATTCCCTGATCCTCAACTCCAGCCCTGGCCTAGCACCCCGCCTCAGGAGGATCTTGTAAGAATCACTGATGAATACAGGAGCCAGAGAGGCCAAAGACCTGCAGACACGGCAGCCCCTGTCAATACCGAGCACAAACGAGAGGTGACGCATTTGCCTACCCACTCCCTGTCCCTCCTTTCTTCCTCGCTGCCGGAACCTGCGCTGCCCAGGCTGGCAGTGCTCCTGCTAAAACATGCCTTAGGCCTTTCTTAGAGATGTGAATGGCCAAGGGTTTGAAAGTGGAAGTCGCAGGTAGGTTCTCTGGACACACTGTTTAAAGAGGCCTGGTCAGCTGAGACACACTCTTGCCTTGCCCATTCCCTCCTGAAGCATAGATGTGATGTCTGGAGTTGCAATGATAGACGGCAGCCATGAGACCTTGAGGATGGAAGTGACACCTTAGGGCTGGGAGATCAGAAGACAGCAGCACCACCCTATCTACACAGGTGCCCACCTTGAGGCTTGTGTGCAAAAGCCAAGGGGACCTCTATTGTGTCTAAAGTCCCAGTTGTGAAGCTTCAGCAAACTGCACTAGGTGACTTGCCTTCAAAGAGCGGGAGGGAGTCGTTGGAGAAGGTGTCCAAGGCCAGGAGGTCTTTCCCGTCTTTGGACCCACTGCGTTTGTGCTTGTGCTTCCTTCGAAAGAAGGACCGGCGAGCGGCTGCTGACAGCGTCTTGGCGGCGCTACTGTCGTCTTTGACCTCGGACATGCTGAGCCTCCTGGAGAATTCTTGGTCCATCCTGCAGTCACAGGGAGTGGCAATGCTGGGGAGTGCCACGGAGACAGACCCTGGCCCACCTCCCAGCAAGGGAAGCCAGGCCTCCCCACACCACCAGGCACCTTGGGTACTACTGTGATGCCGGGACGGGCTCTCAGAGCAGAGAGATGGCCACCAGGGTGTGCTCACCTCAGTGTCAGAGGAGCGGCTGGGGCAGGCTTCACCTGCTGTCCCTACAAGTTAGGCTTTCTGCCTGGGAATTGACCGGCACAGGGCCACAGGCTGCAGGCTGCAGCGTGAAGGGTGCAAGCCAGACACAAAAGGTCACGCACCGTGTGGTCCCAGTCCCTCCAAGTCCACAACAGGGAAACTTGTCCAACTGTCTATTAGTGGCTGCTTAGGGCTGAGGGCCAAAAGAAGAGGGGAGGACAAAGGGATGGGGTGTGCTGTGGTTTGAGTGTGTCCCCCAAAGGGCTGTGTCCCCAGTGTAGCCATGTGGAGGTGGAGGAACCTTTAAGAGGTGGGGGCGTGGGGCCACACCCCTGTAACCCAGTGACCAGGAAGCTAGGGCAGGAGGATCACCAAGTTCAAGGCCATACTCAGTAACTTAGCAAGACCCTGTCACAAAAATAAAAGGGGCTAGTCTGGGTGTCCACTGACATATGAAGGAATGGATAAAGGAAATGTACTGACACGAAGAGTTTTATTCAACCATACAGAAAAATAAAATTATGTCCTTTTTCAGAAAATGGGTAGAACTGGAGACCATTGTGTTAAGTGAAATAAGTCAAACTCAGGTCAAGGGTCATGTTTTCTCTCATATGGGGACTCTAGAAAGGAAAAAGGAAAAGAGAGGTAGGGGCAGATCTCTTGAAAATCAAAGGGAGGTTGGGAAGGCAGGGAGGGAGGGGGAAGGCCTGGGGAGTGATACTGGCCAAATTACATTGTTACACTGTGTGCACGTGCCAGTATGAAGAACTATCCACCCCTATGTGCAGCTGTAATACGACAACAAAAAATGTAGAGAAAATAAATAAAAACGCATCCACGCCAGCAAAAAGAAAAGATTAAAGGGGGGGTGCTGAGACTGCAGCTCAGTTGTACAGCACCCTTGAGTTCTATCCGTAGTACTAACCTCCTCCACCCTACCCCAAAAATAGAGGTGCAGATTAGTGGAAGGTGGTTAGATCACTTGGGGCTCTACCCTTGGAGGGATTAAGGTAGTACTCATGGGACCTCAGTTAGTTCCTGTAAGAATGGGTTATTATCAAAAGGCCAAGCCTAGCCCCTGAGCTCCCTCCTTCCTATCTTGCCATGTGACCTCTCCTTGTATACAAGGCTGGTCCCTTGTGTTTCCCTACCACACTGTGATACAGCCCAGCGGAAACTCTCTGGAGACAGAACCGATGGGGCAGGCACCCTAATCTTACACTTTCAGCTTCCAGAACTGAAAGCTAAAAACCTCTTTTCTTTATGAATTATTCAGCCTCAGTTAGTTACAGCAACAGGAAACAAACATAGGTAAGACAAATGGGTATGGAGCTTCTTTCTGAGATGATGAAACTATTCTCCAATTAACTGTGAATATCGGTGAACACACTGAAGACCACTGAATTGTGTACTTGGGGACTTGTAGGATATGTGAATTACAGCTCCATAAATCTGTTTTAAAAATAGTGATGCCGGGGGCTGGGGACATGGCTCAGTTGGTAGAGTGCTCACCTTGCATGCACAAGGCCCTGGGTTCAGTCCCCAGCCCCACACACACCAAAAATAGTGACACCTCCTGACTGGCCACTCAGCTTCTGCACCCTGACTTATGACACCACCTGCTTTTTGAACATGCGACACTGGCAACAGGGATAGCCCAGAAGCTGACATGAGCAACAGGACCAGTCCTCCAGGAGCTCAAGCCCGGCCTTGCCCTGTGGGACAGCTCTGTGGCCGGTGGACCCTGCGGCCCCACCCAGGGAGAGACACTCACACATATTTGCTGGGAATCTGCCCACGCTGGATCTTCTGGGCGTTCTCATCCAGCTGCCACGCCATCCAGGACCCGAACGTGCCCTGGGGCAAGGTGTCGTCCACGTAGAGAATGTCGTCCTTCCTAAAGCTCAGCTCATGCTCCACCTCGGCCAGCCGGTCATACAGGGCCCTGGACCAAGGGACGGAGGGAGCTCCATCAGGATGCGGCCAGTGGCCAGGGGTGCACCAGACTCTGAAGGCTGTTGCTCTGCTTTGCCCCCACTCTGTCAGGAGCAGGATCCCATTCTGGGCTGGCTCCCAGGCAGGACACCTTGGCTATCCTCCCTATCACTGAGGGAGCTTCTAGCCCAGGAACAGGCTGTATCTTCCTCTTCCAAATGGGCCTTTCCCATCCGCCTCCCTCCCAGGAGTCAAGGCCCCTGGTTCCCACAGACAGAAATCTCTGGAGACACAGCCTCTCCCGCCCTCAGGACAAGAAGCGGAATTCATCAGCTTCTCATCCTTCCTGTGGTCTCAGATCGCAGGAAATGCAAAGAAAGCTCTGACCACTCACAGAAAACGCTTGATGCCCTCCCCACGTGCCATGTTCTACATGGTACTTAAGGGCACCGTAGACACCTGAAGCCCACACAGTCTGCACATCTCGGTCAGGAGCAGATCCAAGGAAAATGGGGCTCTACAGCCTCCAAATTCCCTAGGCCCCTAACCCTAAAAAAGGGAACTCAAATGTTTCCTTAGGTTCTCAAGCATTTTTCTAACTCAAAAGAATCCTACCTAGGCACAAGTAGTGCCAATCACAGCCCCAGCTTTGGGCACAGAGCAGAGAGGCAAACATTCACCAGGAGCAGTCTCCACTGAGAGCCCCTGCCTGGCCCTGAATCCCCAGCTGCTGGTACCTGATGTAGAAGCTGTCACCAGGCAGGCCCTTGATCCTGGTGAACTCCTCTGGGCGGTACTGCACCTTCAGGCGGACACTGTCTTTGGGCTTCAGCATCTCCACGTAGACCTCCTCCACCGTCTTATTGCGCACATCCAGGTTGCCATACTGTCCAGGGACAGAGAAGCCGGGGTCAGAAGGGCAATGGCCAGTATGCAGTTCTGGCACCCACCAAGGTGGAGATTCAATCCCTGATCTGAGACTGCCCACCTCCCCTGTGCAGGGAGGGCCAGGTCCTTATGGTCCTCCCAGAGCCTGAGATCTGCACACACTTCCTGGTCCCCCTGCTCTGCCTTCTACAGCTTCTCCTAGGAAAAACCCTCAAAGAAGGCTTTTCCCAACATGGCCCTGCCTCTTGCTTATGAAACTACCTTTACCATCTGTAAGCCATCCCCTGGGGAGACAGGAGTGCCATCGAGAAGACGGCAACCTCCCTAATCAGAGACTTGCTGCTGGCAAGAGACGCATTTCCTTTCAATGCCAGAGCCAGGACCAAGCCCTCGCCTTCTTTTGGTGGCCTGCCTTACGGCAGTGACACCCCAGAGGGGTGTGGCAGCATCGCAGGTTCGCAAAGATAAATAATCAGCCCTGTCAGGTCACCAGGTGAGGGGTGTGCTCCTCTGTCCTCTGTGCCACCTGAGATGGCACCAGCCCTGCCACAGGGACAGTGACCTAGCCCACTCAAGAGTACTCACCTCGAGGATCAGATCCCCTGGCACCAGGCCATCGGGACCCCTGGCAGGACTGTCATCCTCCACTTCGGCCACAAACACCCCGTGCAGGTTTCCACCACACAAATGCACCCCAAGGTCCAGTTGAGACTTCTTGATGAAGACAATGCGTGGTTCCGGGGTCTTCTTGTTGGCATCTCCCATGATCCTTTTAGGAAGGAAAAGGGAGTTTCTCAATCATGCGCAAGGTGGGAGGAGGACAGGAAAATAAGTGGCTAGAGCCCCAGCTGTTTCTGCTTGCTCTACGGGTCTCAGAGCCCAGGTTCCCTAGAGGCCCTTGCCACAGGCTCTAGTTCTACTGATGCAGGGCACGTGGCAGGAGGTTGAGGGGCAGTGAGGGTAAAAACATGGCTTAGGTCACAAAGACAGTTGGGGACAGAGGTAAAGCCGAGGCCTCTGCTTCCAGATCCAGCCATGGCTTTCACGCCTTGGGAGGCATCGCCCGCCTGCCCTGCTCACCTGCCTCAGTCCTGCCTAAAGAAAGGTAACGTGGGTCTCATGGACCAGAGCACAGCGGCTCACTTAGCAATGTCTCCCAAGCAGTTTCTGCAGACCAGGACCTGCACCGACTGGGAAAGGGACCTTGTCAAGGAGAATTTAGAACCAGTGAGGGCAGCTGGAAATAGGCTAGCAGAGAAACCTACTGGAGGGAGCGGGAGCAATAGTGGGGACTGATGAAAGGAATCCCAGGAGGGAAACCAGCCTATGATTAACATCTTACTGCTGCAGGTAAGTTCCAACGGGACACAGTGAAGAGTACAGAGCTGGCCTCATTCTGCGTGATGCCGAGGCTTTGCCTGAAAAGGGGGCCCTCTCTAGGCTCCTCCAGGCCCAGACCAGGCTGAGGGGCAAGCAGTTCTCATGAGGGCTCCTGCCTCCTCCTGATGCTGCTCCCTCCTCCTGCTCACCCTGAACATCTATCTGCACCTAGCAGTCACTTCTCCTGGCCACATGGCTGGTGTGGCTGTACATATCTGGGCCCTGGCCTGTCACCTCCTTGGGAACAATGCTGCTGCTGATGGCCAGAAACCTAGAGCCTGGCTGGGTGATGACTATGGGATTGTGTCTCGAGAAAGAATCAGAAAATGAGTGAATGAGAGGGGCTGGGGCTGTCGCTCAGTGGCAGAGCACTTGCCCAGCACATGTGAGGCACTAGGTTCCATCCTCAGCACCAGTAAAAATAAATAAATAAATAAAATAGAAGTATTTAAAAGAGAGAGAGAGACAGGGCAACAAATGAGTCAGTGAGAAAACAAGAGAAAGAGGGAAGGAAAGAAGGAAGAGAGGAAGGAAAAAGGAAAAGTGTCTCCCCCTTTCACCCTGGACACCTGGGTATGTGGTCGGCAGCACAGTCTGAGATCAGCTGCCTGGCACCCACACCCCTAAGGGATGTGTTCCATCCCACTCGGGCTAGGTGGACAGAGGACAAGCCCACAGCATGCATGTGCTGACCTGGAGCAAGGGGTGTTCTGCTTGGCTGGGGGTGTGCCAGGACCCTCGTCCTGCTCCATGAGCGGATCAATGACAGAGGGGTGCTCTGGGGTGGTGCTACCACTGCCCTGGAGAGTGGCGTGGGCACCGGCAGGGTCCAGGTGGGAGCTAGGGAGGGAAGACAAGAGGAGTAAGGAAAAGCACAGAACATGTGGCACACACCACCCCGGGGCCATGCCCCCACCAGGGACAACTGGGTTTGCACTGCAAATAGGGAACAGGTCACACAGCACTGAGCCCTGGAAGGGAAGATTCATCAGGTGCTTGGACTGTGTCACCTGCTCCACAGGACTGCCTGTCCTCAGCTCAGGAATCCTCTCCAAAGGCATCCAGCCTAGGGGACACATGAGGTCACTGTCCCTTTTCCTGGCTTCTGCATCCTGTCTCTCTGAGCCATGGAGTAGGACCCTGCAGGACACACTGCCCCTCCTATCTTCTTCCCTGTGACCCACAGCACAGGGGCACATAGAGCAGGCATCTGACACCCGCTCGTGGACAGAGCCAAGCACTGTGTATGAAGCCTGCTCCAGAGCCTCGGTTACTAGTTATCATAGGGCCCTACCGGCAGTGGGCCTCCCGCCACGTACGTATTCCCACACCCCATTTCAGGAGGAGAGATACTCTCAATGTGTGCCCTTTTCCAAAAGCCCAAGGCTAGTCAACTCCCCTGACCAGCAACAGAACCCCCAGCATTCGCTGTGGACACCCCAGGCCTCCCCATGGTGAGCAGCACACCATCACACCCACCCCTTGGCCCCCAGCACTCACCTGGAGTGGGAGTGGCTGCCAAGCTGGTGCATATGTGGGTTGTACTGGGCCAGGATGGTGATGGTGTCACACTGTTGCCCTATGATGAGCCGGGCCTGCTGCTCTGTGGCACTCCGCAGGTTAATGCCATTGAACTGGAGAGACACCCAGGGTGGGCTCAGGGATGGGGCGGGAGCTGTGGACATGGACTTCAAGCACTGCTTTTTCAGGGGTGGAGGAGAAGAGAAGAAGGGCCATTCCCTCCTACCTCAAGTAACTGGTCCCCATACTCAAGGCCAGCCTGGTGGGCAATGCTGCCGGTGGTCACTTTGGAGACGTAGATGCCGCCCTTCTCTCCACTCACAATGGAGATGCCCAAAGGCTCTGAGCCCTTCTGTACCTTCACATGGCGTGGTTCCTCCACGTAAGGCCTGGGAAAAGAGCCAAAGGTGTCGAGGACTCAGACACAAAGGACAGGCTAGGGGAGGCAGATCAGGCATGCGCTCAGGTGTACAGAGAGGACCCTGGAGCCGGGTGCTGCTATGATGATATGGCTGGATGGGGACACGATGAACCAGCTTCGATATGAAAAAGGATACATATTCCCAAAACTTCATGCAATACAAAACAGCACACCCAAATGGACAAGGAAACACCCAGCCCCAAAGACACAGGAACACCAAAATGCACGTGGGAGAAAACTCACATATCTTCATTTTATGAGAGAAGCTTCATTTATGAGAGAAGCTGCCTCACAGCATGCAATTTCCAACCCCTGAGGGAGGGGTCCTCATGACCACCCCCCCTCCAGGAAAAGAGATGGCTCCTGGGATGACGTTCACACCAAGAAGAGATGACATAAAACGTCAGTCTTTGTATATACTGGCTACATGGGGGTGACGCAAACTGATCATGGAAATTAAGCTGCTGCAAACCCAAGCCATGGAGAAGGAGGGAGAGGGAGGCAGAGAGCAAGGCTGGGACCATGCACCTGCTGCCCAAGGGCACCAGGAGGCAGGGGCTCAGGGGAGCCTCGTGTTGGGCCAACCTCAGACTCCTCAGCGAGGAGGACCTGGGCCTGGCGGCCACAGGCAGCCTCAGAAGAGATCTGTGGTGGAAGAGACATCTGGATGGCACCAAAGTTGGAAAGGAGAGAAGGGACACTCAGAAGGAAGACGACTCAGACGCCTACGACTACAGAAAACAGACAGCGAGCGACACAAAGTGCCCCCCCACCCCCACGGCCCGAGCTTCACCAGCCCTGGGCCTTCTTCCTCTGGGACACGAAAAAAAAAGTGAGGCCAAAAACTAAGAGAAGGGTGGTCTGATGCCCACCCTTGGGTCCCCTCTAGAGCCCATGGACAGATCTGTGTGGCAACAAATGAGTTGGGAGGGGGGCACTTGAACCAGCACCCCTGCCACAGAGCTCCGGCAGCCCACAACCTCAGCAGGCCTCGGCCTGGGTCCCGCTGCTTAGGGCCAGGCCCTCTTAGAATAGCAGAAATTAAAATGCTGGGCTGGGGCTATAGCTCAGTGGGTAGAGTGCTTGCCTTGCATGCACAAGGCCCTGGGTTCAATCCCCAGCACCTTAAAAAAAAAGACAAAGAAATTAAAATGCTTACAATTCTTTGTTCACTCCCACCTTCCAAACCTACCCACTTTATAATTCTTCCCTTGACCTGCCAACTGCACCTGAGCTGGCCTGCACCAGTCACTTGTACAACTCAACAAGTACTAGAGTGCCAGGTCAGGTGCAGTTGGCAGGTCAAGGGAAGAATTATAAAGTGGGTAAGTATGGAAGTGGTTTAGAGCGGTGAGAACCTGTAGCCGGCAGCCGCCCTAACGCCATCCACACAGTGGGGCAGGAACCAGAGTGGGCTGAGGCTGCCTTCTTGTGCCAGCCCACAGGCACTGCACAGCTGGCTTCTGTCTACGGCTCCTGGTTCCTCACCGTGACTACCCTGTCCTCTGCTCCACCTCCACCCAAACATGTTTCCCCACAAAGGAGCAGGTAACCTGCTCATATAAAAGCCACTATAAATGATCCTCCGAATCAGGAGTGACTAACACCCAAAGAAGTAGGGACCACTGTGGACTGCAAAAGCAGATGGGACAATGCCACACGGAGCCCACATGCATGTTTACGTCTGTACCTATGCAGATTTCTGTGGAGGGCCTTGCCCAGGAGTGAGTGTGGTGATCTGAGATGATCTTTATTTCTCAGTCTTCTGAATGATTTAAATTTTATACTCTACACACGAGCTTTCTTGGAACAACAATGCTGCTTTGTAAAACATGTTAATAAGTTATACTTATAATGCTCTAAATCACTTAAAATATAAGGTCAGGGTTGGGGATGTAGCTCAGTGGCAGAGTACTCGCCTAGCACGAGCAAGGCCCTGGGTTCAATCCCTTGTGCCACCAAAAGAGAGGAAAAAATAATAATAACTAGAGGAAACATGATTATGTATATAAGATGACAAATAATAAAACATACATTAAAAATGTGTGTGTGTGTGTGTGTATGTGAGTGTATAACAAGTGAATTTCTGAGGCTACAGGTAACTTTTTTCTTTTTTCTACTTTTCTAACTAACTCCCAAATTTCTATGAGTCTATGAGAGTGAACTTCAGAATCAGGAAAAAGGGATGATGTTTAATTAATAAGCTGTTGCTCAGCCAGGACACACGTGTTCAATCTTGTCTTTAATTGCACAATAGCACTGGGGGACAAGGATGTGCATACTTTTCCCTCCGGGGGAGCAGTCCCTGGCTCTTTTGCACGGCAGGGTGCTGACGGGTTGCTTGGTTGCATGTGACACATGCACCCCCTCCCGCTGGGGCCAGGCTGGGCCACAGTTCCTACATAAGTACCTCACAGAAAATACTAGTGACTTGCTGGAACAAGGTACATAGGTGCTAGATGACCTAAAGAAGATTGGCTGAGTCCCGTTTCAAATCAAAGCAAATTCTCCAACCCAACGCCCCCCCCCCCACGAGCAAGCCCACCCCACACCCAAGCACTGGCTAGTGGTCCAGATGTGCCATCCAGTGGTTGGCCCAGGCCACGGATTCCCATGCACACTCACCTGTCCTTCCTCCGCTCCCCGAGGGACGCAGGGTTGACAGCAATCCTGGGCAATGTAGAGGCAGAGGTCTGGGACTGGCTACAAGTGGACAGGGTGTCAATGTTGAGGGGCGACTGAGGAGGGGTGCTGCATTCGGAATGTGACAACGAACCTGTCAAGAGAGGAGAGGCGCGAGGACATGGGGCCCCACATCAACCGCAGGGTCTGGACGCTGGGCTGCAGCTGCCTGCCACCCCCCAGCATCAGGCCCCGCCTGGGCTCAGGACACCTTTTCCCACTGACTGAAAGGACTGGCAAACTACAATCTGCACCCAGGGAACCCAGGTGGGGACAAAAGGAGGCAGCGGGATGAGCAGCGGCAGGGGCATGCCCACAAGTGCTTACCTCTGTCAGAGCCCATGACAGACCGAGGGTACCTCGGCGTTAATGGGATCTTAATGCGTTCTGCCTTGAACTGCAAGTTACTGGAAGACCCTGTTCCAAAAGAAGATGGGACATCAAGCCTTGTGATTAAACACCACCCCCGACCCCTCCCATGGCTTGGCAGTCAGGATGGTAGCATGCAAAGCTGGGCCTGCCATGCAGCTCTGAGAGAGCCTGGATGTGGAGCAGTTGCAAGAAACAGATACTTGGCCTCTAGTATTGGCAGAAGTGGGCAGGCCTGGAGTCTGTCTCCAGAACAGGAGCACCACTCATGGAGACCCACGAGATACAGGCAGCTGCTCGGTCTCCTCTCCCCAACAACCAAGATTTCCCCAGGGTCTCCTTACAAGGCCATATAAGCCTCTCCTCTAGGTGACCCTGAGCAAGCAGCCATACAAACACCCCAGGATAGCCAACAAGTTCAGGGAGAGGAAGCAAGGATCCGAGGGGCCGCAGGCTGCGGGCAAAGAGCACAGCTCCGGGTGCAGCATGGGTGTGAAAGTCATCGGCCCTCGAAGGAAGGAGCTGTGCTTAGCCCCAGGAGAGAGAGGAGCTCATGTGGGCAGCCCACCACGAGATCTGGGCATTAGGATGCAGGTGCCCACTGCAGCCCAGGGTCCAAGCAGTAATTACCGAGGCGGGCGCTGGAAGGCAGCGAGTTGGACCCGTGGGAGGCTCTCATCTCAGCATAGTCACTGCTGGCCCTGTGGCTGAGGTCCAGGCTCAGGCGGCCCTGGTGCTGGACACTGGGAGAGAACCAGAGGGGAGGGTTTGTGAGGACCAGGACCAGAGGTGGCCACCAGGGATGAACTGTGACGGCCTAGGCCTCCCTCACCACAGGCCCAGGACAGCAGCCTGCCCCACCACTTCTCAGAGGTGGCATCTAAGAGGGCCACAAACACAGGGCAAGCCAGAGTCACCTCCAGGTCAATGGCAGGGACAGATTGCGCTCACTGGAAGGAAGGGTCTGCTACAAGGAAAACAGGCTCTGCAACCCAGGTGGGCCCAGAACAAGGACAGGGAGAGGCCGCATGGGCCCCAGGACCTTGTAGAAGTACTACATGAGTCACTCTCAACAGTGTAACCAGGAAAGCAGAGAGTGGTGGCAGAGACCCCGGCTCCCTGCAGTCAGGTTCCCACAATGTACAGAGACGCCACCTTCCTGCTTAAAGCCCTCCTGTGGTCTCCGCCATACTCAGAGTAAAACCCCAACTCTAAGCCAGGCTGCGATGGCTGTCTGGGACCCCAGTTACTTGGGACGCTGAGGTGGGAGGATCACAAGTTTGAGAACAGCCTGGGCTGAGGCCATGTCTCAAAATAAAAAATAAAGACCTGGGGGTGTAGCTCAGTGGTAGAGCATTTCTAGCCTGCACAAGGCCTTGGGCTCAATCCCTGGGACTGAAATGGGCGGGAGGTTGGGGGGCTAGGGAAAAGAAAATCCAACTCTTTATTATGGCTGTAGGTCCTATAGGGTTTGTGCTGGCCAACCTGGGGTCTCCTCCTGACTCACTGCCCACCTGCCAAGCTCCCAGGATTTCAGCCTCAGCATCAATGACACTTCTGTCTGGATGCCCCACTCCAGTTTGTGCAGTTTAGTGGTCACTGTCTTCTCAGACATAGCCCAGCCTGTCACCCTGTCTTACTGTCTTCAGAGCCACTCTGCACCACTTCAAAGTACCCTGTACATGTTTATTTGCCTCCCACACTTGAACAAAAGCACCTCATGAGTAGGAAGCTCATCTCTGTGGTCCACCACGGTCTCCCCACAGAACTAGTCTAGTTCTTGGAACATAAAAGGTACTCAATAAAAATTTGTAAGAGTGATCTTGAGTCAGCCTACCCACTTTTTGACAACTTGGGTTTGCTAATTTATTTAATTATTCATTTTAGTTTTTATTCCTTCCCCCTTTTTAAGTATTTATTTATTTAATTATTTTTTAAATTTATATTTGACAGCGGAATGCATTACAATTCATGTTACACATACAGAGCACCATTTTTAATATCTCTGGTTGTACAAAGTATACTCACACCAATTCGTGCCTTCATACATGTACTTTGGATAATAATGTCCATCACATTCCACCATCATCGCTAATCTCATGCCCCTCCCTTCCCCTTCCACCCCTCTGCCCTATCTAGAGTTGATCTTTTTTAATGCTAGGTTTCTCATTTAATAAATGAGATTCATCAGTGCTCTACACAATCCAAGGAAGTTGTCTAATAATGAAATACAGAAATGATCCCTGAATGCAGTTTTGCCCCATTCACTTTTGAAAGCTCTCATCCCTACAGCAGAGGCAATATAAAAGTATTTAGCTCAGAAGCCTGAGGGAAGAGGGTGTGGCTGAAGGTCTGAGCATGGCAACGGGACCTGAGCTGCTGTCACTATCACCTGTTGAGAATCCACGCTGGTGAACTCACAGAGGAGCCCCAGGTTCCCTGTCCCTTGGCTCCAGTGCTGCTCCACCCAGCCTCTTCCCAGCTAGCCAAGGAAGCTTCTCTGCCCACAGCCTCTCTGCACCTGTGGCACTGGACGACTAGAGCACAGGAAAGGGTAGGGTACCTTTGCATACCTGGGAGGCAAGCCCTGGGGACCAGTATCTCGGGGCACAGGTGGAGAGCTGCAGGGGCCAACCCTGTGGCTGCGCACAGTGTAGATGGGGTTCCGCAGGATGGAGCTCACAGCAGTGCTGGGGGTCATGCTCCGGGGAACAGTTCCTAGAAATGGGCTGGATGAGAACAATGGCCCCCAAAGCACCTGCCCCGACAGCCCTGGACTTGCCTACACCCTCTCCTGTATACCAGGGTGGTGGCCACGGTCTTTTGGGGGAAAAAACTCTATTATAGGGAAATAAGAGTTTTAACCACCAATTTGCTAACTGGCTTTGGCTATTGGACTTTCCCCAGCTGTAAAAAGGGAGATCCCTCTTGCACCATTGCCCAGGCTGCCATGGGGACAAGCAAGTTAGTTCCAACAAACTAAGATATGACATGGATGACCAACCAGTCTGGATAGGGCAGCAATTCCTATTTCTCTGGGCCTCGGGGTTGAAGACCCATGACAGCCATGAAATATGTGCCTCCCCTCTCCCTGGAGACCACACAGCTGACCCTTCTCCCAGCACCTGTCCAGCCCACTCACCCACGGATGGCCTGTTGGGGTAGAGCGGGGGGTTCCCATGCCGGCTGGAATGCCCTGGTGAGTAAGGGGACCACTCCTGCACCTCGGGGGAGAGCTCTCCACTAGCTGGGATGCACTTCTGCTCCTGTAGAATCAAAGACGAGGAGTATTTTCTGGAGATAGTGGGTCTATGTGCAAGTCAACTTCTGTCCCTCACGCAGGAGCTCCTTCTACTCCAGCATAGGAGGTGAGCAGTAGGGCAGAAGTCACCGCCCACTCACGTTGCCTCACACAGCTTCCTTCACAAGCCCTTCTGAAGACAACTGCAAAGGAAGACTCTACCCTTTCCAAGAAACAGCCTCTGGGGGTGGAAGGTGAGCAGGTGGGCACGCACCCGGCTCACAACTGCATGCCTCAGCATATACACTGGTGCCTCAGAGGGTCTTGGCTCCCGGCAATCGCTCCCTTCTAGAAACAACTACAGCACACATGATCAGACCACCCTGCTGCCTGTAAATAGTCTCACACATGTCGCTCATGTCTTCAAACCCTTCAAGTGCAAGTCTGTGTCACTTGACTTTGTGGTACAAGTTCAAAGGCTTCTTATTGAAAAAGCATATCAAACGCTATGTCCTCTGTGCTTCCCTCCACCCCAGCCCACTCCCCCACGTGCACACTAGTTAACAGTGAAAAAGCCTGTCAAGCACAAGTGGGGACGCCAGTGCAGGGCCACTCTGCAGGACTCCCATGGCCAACTCCCCCCACCTAGGGCTGAGCTCTACCTCCAGGAATTGAGCAGGAATCACTACCGGAGCAAGCTTGGGCCGAAAACTAGGCGCAGACTTTGGCCGGCGGCGCTTCTGCCCCAGCTCATCTGCCTTCTGGGAAGTGAGGTCCTCATCACAGGACTTCTTGGCTGGCAGGTAGGAGGAGTCCCCATCCCCTTCAGGGTAGTAGCTGGAGGCGATGCGGACCCTGGCCTTGCGAGGGGGTGATGCATGCATGGGTTCTCCGAGGTCAGCGTCCGGGGGCGGGGCACCTGGTGGGCTGGTAGATGGAGAGCTGCCCACCAGTGTGGCCTCTGACTCAGAACTGGTTTCCAGTCTGTGCTGGAACTTGATGGAGTCACTTCTCCTGGGGGGCTTTGGGGGTGTCAGAGGCCCCATCCTCTTGGAGGGCTGGGGGGAGTGAATAGGCCCAGGGCCTGGGAGCAAATAGTCTATTTTGGGGGGCGTCTGGGGACGTTTAAAAGTGTTTGGGTCAAAGATAGACTTTCTTTGCTTTGGCTTCTTGTAAACGGAGAGCTTCTCCGGCCCTGCTGTGGAGCCGAGCACGGCCTTGGGCCAGGTCCCACCACTGTTGGAGCCCTCAGCATCCACCTTGTCCAGAGGGGCCTCCACTACCCCACAGGGGCCCACCTCAGTCTCAAAGGGCAGCAGGGGCCGCCTGCTCCGCATGTCCACCAGCCCGTAGCCACGTTCCCCAGAGGCATCGGAGTGGAAGGAGCTCAGGCTGCGCTCGGAGGTGCTGGGACAGGTCTGGGGGGAGACTGGAAAGGGGCCCCCAGGGAATGGTTTGTGTAGAAAAGAGGTGCTGCCTCCGGGGGGCCCCGGCTCCTTCCTGTCTTCCAGCCCAGCGCAGAAGAGCTCCGTCTGCGTGGAGCTGTGGTGCTGCATCAAGTTCCGCTTGTGATGAGCCTGGGCCTCCAGGCCATGGCTCCGAAGACTCAGCATCTTATCAGAGTCCTTGATGTTTTCAAAGATGTTCTGGCCGCTCCACGAGGAGCTCTGAGGGAACACCTAAGCAGGGTTGCAGAGGGGTGAGAAAAAGAGGCAGCAGGGCCTGGAGTTGCCACTGGTAATCGTCCCCACAGCAGAGCAGGATGGGCCACCCCCCCACCCAAAAGGGACCCACAGGCACATGCAGGCGAACGCACATGCATGCACCCGGCCCCTGATGGTGAAGTCTCCTCGCGGCCTCCGTCACTTTGAATGCACAGAACTATAAAGTTCTCTGACTTTGAGCACTTTCTTTGATCAGTTGCACAATGTTCTATACACTGTCTAAACACTAAAAATCTCTCACAGAAAATGCAGGTGATGGTATATTGATCAGCACTAAAAGGACATGAGCTGTCAAGCCACGGAAAGACACGAAGGAACCTAACGCACGTTACTAAGTGGAGAAGGCCATGGGGAAAGGCTGACTGCGGCATGACTCCAACCACATGACCTACTGGGAAGGGCAAGAGTCTGCAGGCAGCGCAAGGATCAGTGGTTGTCAGAGGCCTGAGAAGGGAGAGATGACTGGGCAGAGCACAGGAATTTGCAGGGCCATGAAGCTATCCTACATGACACTGTCATGGTGCATACACATAAGGATACGTTTGTCAAAAGCCACAGGATATACGGCATCAGAGTGAACCCTCAGGCTGGGAGGGAGCTCAGCAGCAGAGCGTTTGTCTAGCATGTACAATGACCAGGGCTCAATCTCCCATATCACACCAAGGTGGGGGAAAAATGAATCCTCGGGTAAACTGTGCACTTAAGTTCACTAATGCATCAACACTGGCCCCTCAATGGGAACAAGAGTACCAACTAACACAGATGCCAATAACAGGGACAGCCTGGGGTGGAGGGTAGGGAGGTGGTGGGGCTTGGTTCAGGGAATACATGAGATTGCACCAACCTCAAACAGCTGCCCAAAGAGCCTATTAACTTGATAATAACTGAGTAGTTTAGAAAACTACTCTTAATGAAATGGATGGGCCTATTTTTTTCTAACTTTCTAAGATTTATCTTTTCAGCTAAGTAGAAAAATTGACAGGAAAGTATAATGAATACCCACCAACTGGACTCCATAAGATTTTACCAAGCTGTCTTGAATGTCTATCTATAGTGATATTGCAGATCACTGGAAAAGTTAAGCTGTAGCTTAACATTTCACTAACAACTTTAGCTTGTACCTCCTCAAATAAACTCATCCCCATATATAACTCCAATGTCATCATCAGACCTAAGTAATAATTCTCTATTGTCATCCAATTATCCAGTCCAGATTCAACTGTACCCACTGTCCCCAAAACGGTCTTTTCAGCTGTTTTTTGTTGTTGTTGTTTTTCAACCAGGATACAGCCAGGACCCAGCCAGGCCTTATGCACACTCTGCATTTTGCACATTGGTGCCTTTTTTTCAAGGATCCCCACGATGCTGAGCAGTATGCTGGAGTTGGAGCTGAGGTTCTGGCCACCGCCTCAGTGGTGAGAGCAGAGCTGGCTGCAGGGTCCTTACCTTCAGGAGGGAGAGGGTCAAGGAGTCCTGGCAACTGCGCAACAGAGATTCACATTCATTCAGGGACTTGTTGTCCAGTGCGATGCCATTGATCTAGGGCCAAACAGAGAGCTGTTCAGATCCACTGGCAGGGAAGCCTCAGCCCTCTTCTCAGGGCTGCCAGGACAGAGGCTCAGCCACATACCACCCATGGAGGACAGCAGGCCTGGTTGTTCAAGGTACCAAAGTCAGGAGTGGGTGAAGGAGTGAAAGCCCCTCCCCAGTGAGGCCCAGAGTCAGTAAGGGGCTTCTGAGCAAATGAAACCCAAGCCTTCACAGCATTCCGGAAGAAGGAGCCTTCCTCCTGGGACCAGAACACCAGAGACCCCAGGGAAACATCCAACCCTGGGATGCCCAGATCAGCAGCGTGGAATATCCCAGCTTCATCCTTCGTGTATGAAATAGCTGACAAACATGCATGTTGAGACCAAGGCCATGCAAGGTCGTGTAAGCCAGAAAACACCACAGGCAATGAGGCACTGCCACTGTTGAGAGGAGATCAACAGCCCGAGATCCGTCTCGAGTCTGTCCACATCCCTCAGATACATTCAAACCTTTCCTCAAAGTACACGTGTGACAGTAGATGGCTAAACTGTGGAACAATGTCATTACTCAGCAATGACAAGGAACAAACTGTTGACATATGCAACCCCCGATGGTCCTCACAGGCTTGATGCTGAGTGAAAAAAAGCCACCCCAAAGTCACCCACTATAAGGTTCCATTTAGACGACGTTCTCAAAATGACAAAATTATAACGAAGAACAAATCAGGGGCCAGAAGAAAGGGATACTGGGGCAGAGGGGGGCCTGACTGTAAAGGGGTGACAGGAGGGAGGCCTCTGTGGTGGTATCCCCTGGTCCACATCTGACTGTGGCAGTGGTTACACAAAACGATGTATCAGAAAACCACAAACCACGCACACCTGCTGCACCACAGTCAGCTTGCTGGCTTTGATGGAGGGGGAGCCGGGTGAGGGGCAGGTCAGACTTCCCTGTATTCTCTTAGTAACTTGTAACTATTTCAAAGTCCAAAAGTCTTGGAATGGTGAATGAACTATAACCCCTTCTGAGAAGGAGATGTTGAGGCAGGAGGATTGCAAGTTCAAGGCCAGCATGTTCAACTTATTTTGAAAATAAAAAATAAAAAAGGGTAGGCATATAGCTCAGTGGTTAAGTGCCCCTGGGTTCAATCTCCAGTACCACAGCAAGAAGGGGGAATAAAGCAAATATTATTTCTAAGTGGTAGCAATACAAATGTTTGTTATTTCCTTCCTAGACATTTTCTGTATTTCATAATTTTCTAGTGTTTACTGCAGTAGTATTTTGACACCGTTGGGGGGAATAATTACTTTTTGAATGTTAACATGGTGCAATGCCCAAGAACAAGAGATGTATGAAAACTCTGCTCGTGACTTCTTGCTCAAATGTCTCATACGTAACCCAGCCATCTCGGAGCAGCAGACAGCCTGGCTCCGTCCTTGAAACTCACCGCCACAATCCTGTCTCCCACGGCGAGGGACCCTTCTTTGGCAGCAGGGCTTCCAGGTACCACAGCAGCAGCATACACTCCACTCTCCAGACTGATGCCGCTGTCTGCAAGCCACAGGATGGTAGTGGGCAACCCTGTTCTGGCTGCCCCACCCCATTTTTTTTTTTTTGAGGTACGGGGGATTGAACCCAGGGGCACTCAATCACTGAGCCACATCCCCAGCCCTACTTTGTATTTTAGTTTGAGACAGGGTCTCACAGAGTTGCTGAGTGCCTGAGGCTGGCTTTGAACTTGTGATCCTCCTGCCTTAGCCTCCCAAGCTGCTGGGATTACAGGCGTGTGCCATAGCACCTGGCCCCACCCCATCTTGGTTAATGAAACTTATAAAAGGGGAGGTCAGCAGACTGCACAATGTCCAGCCCAGTACCCCCACCTGGTCACACCCATAAGGGGGCTCAGTCACACCCAGTCTGGTGAATCAGACACTCGAGACCCAGACAACCCCCTGCCAGGAAAGCACACAGGCTGCATTTAAATGGCATCAACAACTCATGCCTGAGAATGATGTGCTTCTGCAAACACGCAAGCCCTGCCAGCCAGAAAGGACACCTGCCACCTCTGCAGGCTCCCTACCTTTCTGTCCACTGAGGTTTATGTGCAGGGGTGTGACCACCTTCCCACCCAGGGACTTCCTCCGCCGCACGACCATGTTGATGGCCCCCTCTCCATTGAGGAGGGCCTTGATGGCCTGCTTCTTGTCCTTGTTGATGAGGTCCACATCGTTGATTCTCAGTAGCCAGTCGTTGACCCTGAGGAGAGACACAGCCCGACTGGCAATCACAAGGATCCTGGGCCCTTTGGGTCACCCCACCACTCCCATTCAGGGGTCAAATGCCAAAAAAAAAAAAGCAGTTGCCCTGCGTTCACATTCAGAAAGAGCTCCTCTCCCTGGAGCATACAGTGGTTAAGTTTACAGAGGCTGGAGCTAGACAACCTGAGCTCAAATCCTGGCTCTGCCACTTACTAGCTAGGGGACCTAGCTGTTCTGTGTGTCAAGTGTCCTCACCTATAAAATAGGACCAACAATTGCACCGACTTCATAGGACTGCAAAGATTAATCAACTCATTTATATAAAGTGCTTAAACCAGTACTTAGTAAATACAACTCATGGAATGAGAATGTGGCACAAGTCCTCAGCTTCAACGCATCCCACCTGAGCCCTCTGCCACCCAGAGAAGTAAAAGACAACCCTTGGTAACTAGAGAAAAACCAGATTCAGAGGCAACTGAGAGACACAGTGTCTCCTCTTAAACCAATCTTAGCAGTTGAGCCTGAGGCCTCAGAGAGACTCTGAATCCCCAGATGCTGGGATCCATTCATCCCAGCACTACCTGACTCTCCGAGTCCTCTGCATTGGACCCAGTCATCCTTAACTCTTACCTTAAGCGGCCATCAGCAATGCTTCCTTTGTCCACTTTCGTGACAAATATGCCACAGTCCCCTGGGAAACAAGGCTCATTCACACCTTCTGCCATGTCAAACCCAAGTGCCTTCAAGTCAACCTCCTCCTGTCGGGACAGCAGCAGCACACTTTACCAAGCAGTGAGCAGAAACATTTGGCTCCTAAGCCCCCAAGCCACACTCACTCAGTCCCCAGAATGGAAGGCTGGGGGGAGCTGCAACCTGCCTGCTCTGGCCCCTGCAGACACACATCCCTGCCAGCACCTCCCCTGCGCTCCACTCCTCCCTCTGCTGTGCGACGCAGCACCACTGTGAGGCACGGGACACCGACTGCTACAGCCCATCTTGGACCGCTGCAAGAAAGGATGGACTCCCACCCCAGGGGAAAAAGCAGGTCCTTAGGCTGGGGCTGGGGCTCAGTGGTAGAGCACTTGCCTAGCATGTGTGAGGCACTGGGTTGGACCCTCAGCACCACATAAAAATAAACGAAGATATTTTGTCCATTGACAACTAGACAAAAATAAATTAAAATTTTTTAAAAAGCTGGTTCTCTGAGATGGTAGCAGTGAAACAGAGACACTGCCAGAGGGCCATCCCTGGTCTTCATGTCAAGCACGGGGAGAAAAGCCATCCAAGGCAGCTCACCGTCTCCCTTTCAAACTCGACGACTTCTGTTTCCCACTCCATGGAATCTGTATCGATGGCCGAGTCGTGGGAGCTGTGGGCCATCAGCTGCCGGAACCGGGCCTCCTTCTCCAACTGGGATTCCATCTGCTCCCTGTGAACAGAGAGAGCTATGGCAATGTCCCTTTGGAAAGCAAAAACATCCCCTGGCATCACAACTCCACACCAAGGTTGCCATTCACGAAAGCCCTTCGGGGCTCCTTTCTTGCCCTCTATCTAGACCAGCTTCCGCCACGCCTGGAGGGCCAGCCAAGGCTTCCTGGGTTATCAAAGGGCTTTCACAGGGGATTTTGTAAAAAGACATATTCTCCCCAAATTTATCGAGAGGCTTAAAACAGTTCAGGTCAAAATGCCATTGAGACTTTTTTAGATACAGACAAAATTATTCCCAAATGTACACGAAAAGGAATGAGAACAGCTGACCATTTTGAAAATGGGACAATCAAGGGGGAGGAGTTGCCCCACCTGGTCTTAAGACTTACTGAAAACCAACTACTATGAAGACTATGTGACACCGCAGAGAGACGGACACACAGATCAATGGAACAGAACAAGGGACCTGGAAATGGCACCACACAAATACCAAGGTACAGATGTAATCAAGAAGAGGACAATCCCGGGGACTGGGGGTGTGACTCAGTGGTAGAGCACTTGCCTAGCAGATGTGAGAAACTGGGTTTGATCTTCAGCACCACAAAAAAGCAAATTAAGGTTTAAAAAAGAAAAAAAAAAAAAAAGACAGTCCTGGGTCAATGATGCTGGACAGCAGGACACCATGGAAAAGAGGAACCTCAACTAAAGCCCTTCCCTCCACACAAACTCAAAACACATCACAAATTCAAATGCATAACATGAAACTATAAAACTTTTAGAAGAAAAACAATAGAATATCTTTAAGTTCTAGGACTATGTGAGGGGTTCTTAGACATAAATCATTATGAGTATTTTTTAAAATAAATAAATTAGTCCATCAAAAATTTAAACTTTAGCTCTTAAGAAAATCTAACAAAGAGAATGGGAAAAAAAAAGACTCAGAAACCCATCAACCCCCCAATGACTCACATGTGATGCCCTTCTTTCTAAAATCTGGGCCCAGGCTACTTTTCCAATTTATCCACGATACCCACTGGGCTCCTGGCATCTGTGTGAACTGCTCTTGTGTCCAGCAGGCTCCCAGATCTGCATGGATGGCTCAGCTGGGCTCCCCCTGGCAAGTTCTAGAAGGCTTCTCAGCCTCCAGTCCTCTTTCCAGGCCAGTGCAGCCAACGCTGTGCACAGAGAGCTCGGCACGCTGTTCCGTCTGTCTCCACGACGGCACACCAGACAAGAGTCTGGTTCTAGATCGCATCGTGGTTACTGGACTCATTTTTAAACTCTGAACTTGGTATTGTCAGTCCTCTGCTAGTGGTCCCAAGTGTTTAGATGACGCTCTGGGAGGGTATTGTGACCAAGGAGAGAGTGCCTGACACCCCACCTAGTCTTAGAAATGGCATCCATAGAACACAAGCAGAACAGCCCGTTCCACCCCCACCGGCTTATCACAGGCTGCTGCTGTCTTCCTGCTAACAGGGGGACGGAACTGACACCCATTTCACAGAATGACAAAGTGAGGCAAGGTGAAGGGACGGATGCAAAGCCTGCACACAGGGACAAGCCCAGTGTGTTCTGGGTTCAGTGCTCTGCAGGGAGCAGGGATGTCATGGTCACAGTACATGCCCACCCAAGCCTACTTGAGCTCCTTAAGCTCCCGGCTGACGTCGTTCTTCTGTTTCCGAGTGTCATCCAGGCTGCGCAGGGCCTCAGCCAGCTCACTCACTGCCCGGTCCCGCTCCCGCCGCAGGTTGTCACACAGTGTCCTGGCAGGGAAGGCAGAGAGCAAGGTGACCTCGAGGGGCAGGGGGACGGAGGAAGGGCTTATGTCAGCAGCAAACAGCTCGGTAGGCCCCTTCCCAAACACCTGCAGGCACATGCCTCACCCCCAGAAGGAGTGCTTGGAAACCCCACAGTCACCAGGTTCCCAGTGACCTCTACTCCTTCTGCTCCACTCTTGGTAAGCCTCTGCACGGGCTCACTTATTCTAACTCAGGCTTGGGAGAAGGGAGCGGCTCTCCTCTGCAGTGATGCACCCCAGATACCTGGAAGGCTCCATCTTCAGCACTCACCTCATTCCCTTAGCCACCTGCATGCAGGGCTTTCTAGACACACCCCAACCCTGCACCTAGGCTGGGAGCCCACTCAGACAGAACCTGATCCCCACACATCTCGGCCACCCTGAGCTTTGCCTAGGTGCAACGTGTGAGCTCAGTGGGACTCTGCAAAAGGGGACCACAGCCCATGTCAGCCATCCAGGGAGGTGGGGACACATGACCCATCAGGAAGCAGAAGATGGCTATGCTCTTTGCCATCTCCAGAACTGGATGTGTCCAGGGGGGCTGGTCCCCACCTCTCCACAGAGTCAAACCTTCCCTGTCTTGATCAGAGCCCAGTTCAGAACTGTACGCTGGAGAAACATGCAGCTCAGGTCAGAAAAGGAGCAGACAGGAAGCCCCACTAAGCCTCAGTACTCCCTCCATGCCCCGGAGAGCACCTCGCTCCTCTCCACTGGTGGGGCCTCTGACCAGCCCCCAGGGCCATAGGTCTCCACCCAAACAGCCTCAGGGGATCTTCCAGAAACCCCCCAATGACCTCTCTTCCCAATGCTGACCTCCTCATCACCTGGAGAAGCCCCATTCAAGCTCCAAGTTCTAGCCTGGATGCCATACTTTCTCAAGAGAGCTCCTCATACCCCAAGTGCCCCGTGTGCCCGAGGACAGCCCTGGCTGAGGCCCCAGACATCACATCCATGCATCCCCCGCTGCCCCCCATCCAAGCTGCTCAACATGTCATGAACATCATATGCACCTGGGAGCCTCTCTCAAGGTCTTTATGCTCAAGGGATCTACAATCCTGCACACAGTTGGCACCTAGTAAATATGCTGAAAGAATGCATTTCCCAGTGTGCTACTGTCATGAGAAGCCCTCAAAGTGGCCGGCCCTGTGCCAGGGAACACTTCTCAGGGGTCTCACCTGGACACAGCACACACTCAGGATGTCCGGGGTGAAGTTAAACAAGAAGGAGAGACACAATGCAAAACTCTAAAGCCAAGACGTGAGGTCTGAATGTCAGCCAGGGGTGAGAGGGAGGAGCCCAGGTCCCTGCCACCCTACCTGGACATACAGTGTCCAATTCTGACCCTCCCAACAGACCTTAGAGTGACCTGGGGAAACGTAAGCTCACGCCTGGCCCAAGGTACCCATACCGGATGCTGTCGCGCTCCGCCACAATCTTGTCCCGCTCCTGGAAGGCCCAGTCCCGGCGGCACTTGGCCACATCGGCCTCCTGCAGGGCTTCCTTCAGCTCCTGGCACAGAGCCTTGCACTGCTTTCGAAGGATCTCCACCTCCTTGTTGGCCCTCCCAGCATCCATTGTCACCGTGTCTTTGATCTGGGGGCAAGAGACAGGTATGGGGGGGGGGTGCTGCTGAGACTCCTGGAGTAGAAGTCCCCTCCTCACAGTGCAGGGGTGGGGCTGCTCCTCTAGAGAGCTGCAATGGAGGGAACACTAAGTCCAACACACCCCCTCCTACACGGGACCTCTACACGGCACACTGACAGACATGGTCAGACCACAAGTGGCACTAGGCGAGGGTCAACCCAGACTCTCACAGTCCCACACCAGCCTGCACCTGAACCCCAGGCCCTACCCAGCTATGGCCTCGTCAGCCTGGGTGGAATGTCCCCATGAGTGCTTTGCCAGAGCTCGTCCTGCCACTTCCGTGGTTTATATCTAACAGGCCACTGCAAAGCGCTGAAGAGCCGTCAAGATTTCAAAAGTGTGCCATGTGTGAATGTCACAATGAATTCCGCTTTTATGTCTAACTATGATGTACCAATTAAAAAATAAACTTAGAAAAAGGGAGCTTTGGGGACAAAAGGTGATGATGTGAGGCAGTGAAGGGGCCAAGGGTTGGTCATAACTTCTCCTCCCACCTGCCCCCCATGTCTGCAGTACTAGTGTCTATAATGCGCACACTGAGTTTTTATAAAAAATGAAAATACTCCAGAATTTTTGCTTGTGAATACTATGCGTCAAAGTTTTTGGGTTTTCTTTTGTCTTTTTGCAGTACTTGGGATGGAACCCAGAGGCATTCTACCACAACTACATCTCTACTTTTTCATTTTATTTTGAGACAGGGTCTAAGTTGCTAAGGTTAGTTCTCACCAGGAGGCTCAGTGGGGAAGGAGACCATGGAAACCGGTCATAAGCCTAGAATAGGCTCATAACTAACCTTCGTTGCTCAAGTACAGTCAGCAGGAACCAGGGGGAAATTTGGACAAAAAGTGTTTTGTAACCCAAGAGTGACACGGTGGCATGCTTTGCTCCAAACTCCTGTTGCCCAAGATCGATGCTAATTATTTTAGTTTCGGTTTTCCCCTATTTTTATGCTGCATCGAGCATAAAAATAACCTTGAAAAAATTAAAGACTATTTGTACTAATTCTATCAATAATTTGTTATAATAAATAATACATTTAATGATCACATTTTTTAAAAAATCTACATTGTGTTGAATGTTGGGTAATATACGCATGCGTGGTTTTAAATATGAAACCTGTTAATATTTGGTTTTCTGAAAGGCTTTTCCATTTTGCGCTGGATGATAATCTCAACCCAGAGACAGAGGTGGAAACATACAGAAAAGCCCACGCTGGGGAATGGAGCGTGCTCCTGCCCTCTCCGCCCCCCACACTCCTCTCCATGGGCTCCTTGGCACTGTTTTTCTCCAAAACAAATTCCCCCCAGTTTCCTTAAGAGTTTTAGAGTGGGGGTGGGGAATAATGAGATATCTTTAAAAGGACAGAGGAATTTGGAGGACGAGACTGGAGTAATCTTTGCCCGATTCCTTGATGGTGCTAATGACGAAGCCCAGGATCCTGGCGATGACCTGCCCCAGGTCCCGCCACAGTGGAGAGTGGACTTTCAGTCCACTCTGTGCCCCCCACATCAGACCTCAGTCCTCATACACACTGCCTATGACTTCTTCCTGCCTGGCTTCGGTGCACTTGGAGAAGAGATGGCAGAGCCCACTCCAAGGTCCCAGAGAGAAGATGGGATGCAGGTGTGGTGGCTTTCAACAGACGGCTCCCAGGTGGGGCAGCTGGCTTCTATTCTGGCAGCCCCTGCTGTCAGAGCCCTCTGCCCAAGAGTCTGAAACTCATCACACTGCTCAGCCTCCACAGCCAAACTCAGCTCCTCAAACTGGACTTGTGGGTGGATATGCAACTGCATTAGGAGGGCTACAGGGACAGAAAAGCCACTGTGAGCCAGAGTGGCTGTGCTGGCCTTCTATGTGGCAATGTTCTAATAGTGGGGCTCGGGGGGAATTAGAACCTGGGGGAACTTCTTCCTCCATCCTCCTAAAAGCAATGGCCTTCACTAGACCAGGCCAGCTGATGGCAGGGAGAGCCACCTTGTAATGACAGTAGCCCCTGAGGATATACCCGCTCTGGGCACTGGACAGAACAGAGGCCTCTCAGGTCATGAACAACGAAGAGGGAGGCACAGAGAGAGGGGGACAGAGTGGAGAAAAGCTCCAGAAAGCACCACTCCCTGGCTGGGCAGAATCAAGACCTCCTGCAACACGAGAGCTAGACCAGCTGGGCTCCTGAGGAGGGTGGGGTCTGACCCCAAGCTGGGATGGCCAGGGCCACAGACCTGGCCTCCCCTGGGTGGCAGGGAGCAGTACTATACATGGAACCACAGCAGCAGCGGGAGAGGGCGCTGGGGTTTTCAGCTCTGGAAGCCTCAGGGTGGGGGAGGGGGTTCTGGTCACCTCCTGCCTGCTGACTCGGAACAATGCCTGGAAAGGGTTCCTGTCTCAGCTGACAGGCAGGCTTGAGGCCCAGCCAACACCCCCTGTGCAGGGCAGGCGCTGGGCTGAAGGGCACACCTGAGTGCTGGGGGAGGGGGGTTGGGTGCTCTACTTCCCCATGTTCCTACATGTCCACGGCCTTCACAGGTCACTCCTATGATCTCAAAAACCCATCCACGTGGGCTCTGTGTCCTATCACAGGTTGTGTATAAACAACCTTCTGTGACCTTCTAGTCTGGTGACTGACTAGGTCTTTTCAGAGTTTTCTTCTGCTCCATTTTGTTTTTCTAATCTGATATCAACATTTCACTCAAGATTAAGTGCTCAGACACAAGGATGTGAAAAGGAGCCCTCACCTTTGACACTTACTGAGCTCTGGTGTATTAATAATAATAATAAATTCCTTCTCATAATGTTCTTTACAAAAATTTCATCAAAGTAGGGGCTGAGAGTGTGGCTCCGTGGTAGAGCGCTGGCCTAGCATGCACAAGGCCCTGGCTTCCATCCCCAGCACAAAAATCAATAAATAATAAATACAAGAAAATACTCCTCTTCACATTGGCTCTCACCTTAATGGTCTGCACAGGTCTCAGTCCCCTTGTATGAAACTGCTGTTATTTGGCCCATTCGTAAAACAGTGTCACAGCATTCACCCTGGTCCTAAACAGGACAGTAATGAAGACCAGGGGGCAGTGGCAGGGCACGATCTGTTATAACCAGGCAGATCACTCCGAGCCACACTGACCCACACAATGCAAAGAGAATCTCCCATGCTGTCCTCACCCCAGCAGAGTAGGGGTGCTCAGGGGAGAAGCGTCAGTGCTAAGGTGTCAGTGGGGATAGAGGTGGCCCGGTAGGAAGATTGTGAAGAATCCATAGATATCACTCAGAGATGAGTTGAGTGACCTAGTCTCAGTGCCACTGAACACTCCAGTCCCCCAACCCCAGAGGAACCACCCCCAGGGGGCTTTAGAAGGGGGCCAGGCTCAGCCTATTAGCACATCTCAGCAGGGGCCTGGGGCAACCTTGTGAAGAGCAGTGTTGGTCAGAAGTGCCCAGAGGAGGGCTGGGCTGTGGCTCAGTTGGAGAGCACGTACTTTGCATGTGTGAGGCCCTGGGTTTGATTCTCAACACTGTATACAAATAAAGGAATAAAATAAAGGTCCATCCAGAACTAAAAAAAGAAGAAGAAGTGCCCAAAGGATGTTCCTCTGACCCATGAGGCCAACAGATCTATGGTTCTAAGAACTTGGACTTGGGGGCTGGGGTTGTGGCTCAGCAGTAGAACACTCACCTAGCACATGCGGGGCCCTGGGTTCGATCCTCAGCACCACATAAAACTAAATAAACAAAAGGATTGTATCCAACTACATTTAAAAAAAAAAAAAAAAAAGGAACTTGGACTTGGGATTTGCTTCATAATGAGCAAGTCTGCGACTTTCAGCACAAAACTGATCTGAGCTTAAAGGGTGACTTTGGATGTGACAGCACCTGGAGTGTCATCTGATTTCTCCCAGGATATCTAGGACTGTGGTTGGACCTCCCTTCCCATTGGACCCACCCTGCCGTATCCCACTAGAGCTGAACACTGAGCCTGAGCCCAGCAGTGACCTGCCAGCACTTAGGCCTCCAGTGAGAACTCTCTGCTGTCATTCAGAAGCCTGTCCAGCCAGCCCCAGGAGCACTGTGCAGCCCCGCCTCTTGCTGAGGCATAGCCTACCTGCCGCAGCGCCTCCATCTCCTCGCTGGCCGCCTTCTTCTCAGATGTGCTGCTCTTGAGCTTGGACTCAGCCAGCTCCACCTCGGTCTGCAGCTTATCCAGCTCAGAGATGACCTGGTCACGCTCGCTCATGATGAGCTTATACTCGCTGTACACTGCATCCCGCTCCTCCTTGTACTTCTCGGACTCCTTCGCGGTTTTGACCTGCGTGGTCCTCAGCTCCGTCAGCTCTGACTGGAGCAGCTCCATCTCCCACTGCAGGTCCTTGTTCTGGGCCGTGGCCTTGTTCAGCTCATGGTGAATGGCCTCGAACCTGGGGGAGGAAGGCGGCGGGATGTGGGAGGGGCGGCGCCTGCCTGGTCAGCTGTCTGGCTGCTCTTCTACCTCCCGCCAGCTCCACTGTGCTGAACAGTCAAGCATGAAGTTTGGGGTGAGGTCATTCTCTGCACCCCAAGGGAGAATGGTCACAGAGCACCAGTGCTGTGGGCCTGGAATTTTTACAAATGCCAGAAGTTGAACTGAGGACAACGCACCCCCTGCTCTACTAGAAATAACTGCATATTCCTTCTACGTCAAACCACTTTATTTTGAAAAAAAAACAAAAAAAACAATGTCAGAATCTCAACAGAGGACACAGAAAAGCCTTAATGATGATTTGCTGCAACCTCCTCATTTTACAGACAGGGATGGTATGGCCTGGCACTGTGAGCAAGGGACCAAGGTCACGAGGTTAGCTCGGTCTGCCTAGGCCAGGTTGCACCTTCCACACGGACAGGCAACCTGAGAGTCAGAGTTGCTGCTCTAGAGTAGCATGTCCCAAAATGTGTTCTTAGAGAACAGTAATCCTGCAAGGGGCTCCATCACAAACCACCTATGTGGGTTCCCTGATGGCCTCTACATCTTGGTCCTCTCTGGGACAAATCAAAGCTCTGGCAAGTCCTGCAGCAGGGAAATCCATCTGGGCTCAATCCAGCAATTCCCCAACCTATTTATACCCAGAGAACACCTTTCAAGAAATGCTCCCGAGAGCTCGAGTTCTACAGGAATGCACTTAAAGCAATACCGTCAGAGGGAGGGGATCACATCTCTGAAGATGATATTCCTTAATAAAAAATGAAAATTGTAGGAGACACGGTGCCTGAAAACTGACAGGAGGAGAGGGTTGTGGGGAGACCTAAGAGACAGAATGCTCAGAACACAATGGGTTGCTCAGATGGGAGAAAGAAGATACAACTCCCGAGACACATTAAGTGTCAAAAAAAGTTTCCCAGACAGAAATACCTGTTGATTGACAAGCACTACAGCCTGCGCCGCCTTCCCCCGGCTGCGGCTGGGAGTCTGGCAGAGAAGACGCATCTGGCTCTTAGGCCGCTCTCCTCCCTACCGCCCTCTGCCAGGGTCCTACCTCCTCAGGGACAGGGCGCACTGGTGCTGCAGCTGGATGGCCGTGTCCCTCTGCTGGGTCAGCATTTCCGTCTGCTTCAGCAGGCGCTGGTTCTCCTCGCCCAGCTGCTCCAGGCGGCTCAGGTCTGAGTTGTGGATGGCAACCTTCTCGCTGTACCGTTTCCGCAGGGCATCGTAGTCCTTCTTGACCCCCTCCAGCTTGTCCATGGCCGTGTCGTACAGCTTGTTGAGGATCTCTGATGACCCGTTGTGCTTCAGTACCTGGCCACAGGGAGTTATGCTCACAAGAGGCGGGGGGCGGGGTGGACAGGACAGACCTCCTCCCTGGTGACAAGGCGTGGGACGGGCCTCCGGGAGTCCCAGAGGTGTCTGGTCCTACGAGGTGTCTGGTCCTACGTGCCCTGCAGTCGCACTGGGCTGATTCATCCAGATTTGCTCATTCTCAAATATTTATTGTCATGCAGAGAAAAGTTAACGTGGCAGAGCCGGAGACGCTCCGCCTTGGACAGGCTCACAGCAAGGCTGACTCCTTGCTGGGTGCGTCCGGGAACCCACACCAGCAGCATCTCTCAACGCTGATATAAATCGTCCCCTACGTGATAAGAGTGGCCCGTGGTGCCCAGACTACACAAGCTGTGTGGCTTGTGCTACTTTCTCTGGGAGTCTAGAATCTTGGTACATGCTAGGCAGTGGGCATCCTGGTGACCAGCTCCCAGTGAAAAGCCCAGGCACTAGGTGTCCAGCAGATGGCCCCAGAAGCCCCATTGGACGTGGGCTGTCACGACTCTGTGCTGGAGGGGTCGGGTGTGTCCAGTGTGACTGCCCTGGGGAGGACTCTTGGAAACCTGCACCTGGCTGCCTCCGGACTTTGCCCCACGTAGCTCTTCCTCCCTTTGCTGATTTGGCTTTACGTCCCACGGTTGTGAATTTTTACCACCACGATTACACACTGGACCTTGTGAGTTCTCCCAGCACATTGCAGAATCCAGAGGTGGTGCTGGGGACTCCTGAAAACAACACCTAAAGTGTCTAGTATTGTTCTAAGTGCTGGTGACACCAGGCAGGGTGGAAAGAGACTGTGCTCCATGGACCTTTGATCCTAATAGGAGGATACAGGCACACAGATCAAATCAATTGACCTCAGAGCATGAGAAAGGACATCAAATAAAATAAAAATAAAATAGGATAACAGGCTGAAGAGACTGAGCAGCAGAGTGGAAGGCTAAGGTCTAGGGATGCCTCTCTAAAAGGGTGACATCTGTCTGGATACAAAATGAAGAGCGGCCAAGAGCACACCTGGCAGCTGGGAGAGTAGATACAAAGGCCCTGGGGCAGAACCAGCAAATGTGTGCTAAGAACAGCAAAAAGGAATAGGTAGTATAGCTGTAGCCACCCAGTTCACAGAGCCTTGGAAAAGAGCCCACAATGAGGATCATGGCCTGAAAGAAACAGGAAGCCATGGAGAATTTTGAAGCACCCTACTCTGAATTACAGAAGCTAAAGTTCACTCGGGATGCTATTCAAGAGCAGGGGGAGATGAGTTAAAAAGCTGTGAGGGGGGCCTGCCGACTTCTGCTGAAATCCTCAGGGGACCTGAGCCCTTGGTGAGTCACCAACTTGAGGGTTTCAGTTTCCTTATTTCTCAAATGACAGGAGAGAACCGGAAAGGCTTGCTTAGTGCCTGCAGCTCAGCAGCCTGGGATCACCTGGCTCACTGCGCGTGGGCTGAGTTATCACAAGATCTTTGCAGCCCAGAGAACCGGGACCAGAGAGCATGGAATATTCCTTCAGAGGCAGAGTCGGCCTCAAAAACACAAGTACCTCGAAACAGAAAAGCGCATGTTGTTTAAAAATCAGAATCACCCAGATAGGGAAGGAGCTCGCTCCCCTAAGACCTAGGATCAGACCCCAGGACCGCAGCCGGTCAGAGGCGAAGTCCGGTTCAGGCACCGGTTCATTCTTGTGCCTTGCTTGTCTTTATTTATTTTTTAAGTAGAACTCTTCCCTTCAAAGGAAGTCTTACGAGGTTGCCGAAATACAAAACTCATTTTAAAAAGTGGCTGATGAGGGGCTGGGGTTGTGGCTCTGCGGTAGAGCGCTTGCCTAGCACATGCGAGGCCCTGGGTTCAAGACTCAGCACTACAAAAAAGGAAATAAATAAAGTATTGTGTCCAAATACAACTAAAAAATAATTTTTTTTTTTTTTAAAAAGTGGCAAGTAGGTTCCTCAGCAGTTAAGACCTCCATTGTTCTATTAAAAAGTTTCCCTGTGGCAAAAGAGGAATACACCCCAAGACACGGATGGAAAACCAGGTGCTGAGCCCCACACTGTCCTCTAACATCTTCCTTTAGGGAAAAAAAAAAAAAAAATCTTCCACACGTAGAGAAGAGGATAGCTAATAATGTAACAAATGTTATATACCCAACTGTTTAATCTTAATATCATACTGCGCCCCAAACTGTTTACAGAGAAGTAGACCATTACAGAGGTTGCTAAAGCTCCCAGCACACCTCTCTGGCCTAGTTTCCCATTTATCCCATCCCCACCAGAAGGACTCGCTCCCTCCCCCAGCCTATTGCTGACCACCTTCGTGCACAATGCGACACTACCACCAAGGCAGGAGCCTCTCCGTGGTTTCATGCCACTGGAGGTGATTTTTTTGCATGATTTCTTTCTTTCTTTTTTTTGGTGCTGGGGATTGAACCCAGGGCCTTGCGCATGCGAGGCAAGCACTCTACCAACTGAGCTATATCCCCAGCCCCCCAGGTGCTTTTTATTCACTGCTGATTTTGAGATTCAGTCAAGTAGACGCAAGTAGCACTTCATTGTGTGAATATGTCACACTCCTCCTTCTGATCCAGAGATGGTCACACTGTCTCCACATATTTGCTAATATTAATAATACTGTCCTTAGGCTGGGCACAGTGGAGAACACTTGTAATCCCAGTAGCTCAGGAGACTGAGGCAGGAGGATTCTGAGTTCAAAGCCAACCTCAGCAAAAGTGAGGCACTAAGCAACTCAGTGAGACCGTGTCTCTGAATTAATACAAGATAGGGCTAGGGATGGGGCTCAGTGGTCAAGTGCCCCTGAGTTCAATGCCTAGTACCCCCAAAAAACAGGGTTGCACACACATCTCCTTTTCTCTAGGAGCAGAGTGGCTAAGTCTTGGGATATGGATTTTCCACACTTACTGGACAGCACCAAATTGCTCTGGCTATGCCAATTTACACCCCCACCAGCTGTGGGAGAAGCTCTGAGAGTGACTGACACCAGCACACCCTTGCCAAGGTACAGTACATTCAGATTTTTTTTCTTTTTATGTTATTGGTGGAAAAACACAACAACATAAAACTGACCCTCTTGCCCATGTGAAGCATTTCTAAGCGTGCAGTTCAGCAGTTTTATGTACATTCACTCTGTTGTGCAACCAATCTCCAGGACTTTTCCCATCTTGCAAAACTGAAACTCAGTACCCATTAAACAACTCCATGGTCCCCCTTCCCAGCCCCAGACAACCATCACTCCACTTTTTCTCTGTGAAGCTGACCACTTCAGACGCTTCCCATCTGTGGGATCAGACAGTATTTTGTCTTTTTGCGGCTGGCTTATTTCATGCAGCGTAATGTCTTCAAGGCTCACCCACGTTGGAACATGGGTTGGACCGCCTTCTTCTTCCTCAAAAATATTTCACTGTATATCCTGAAACACCACATTTTGTTTACCCATTCATTCCCCAATAGACACTTGGTTTGTCCTGCCACTCTTGGCTACTGTCAAATGGTGAGGTTTTTTAAAGTACTGCCAATCTCATAAACAAAAACATGCTCTCATTTTAAAACTCATAGCTTGGACTTGGAGCAACTTTCTTTATGTTTATGGATTATGCATCTTTCCTATGAATTATATGTTCCTATCCTTTGACTCCTGGCTTCGTTCCCTCCCTCTCTTGACCTTTCTCTCCCTCTCCTGTCTCTGGAGCTATTTTCAAATTCCAGGCACTAACCCTTTCCTATTTATCTGTAATACAAATGTCTCCAATATATGTCTTAAGTTGGCTGGCAGGGTCTTTTGTTGTGCCCCAGTTACACATTTTAATATGCCAAGATCTATTAGTTTTATGTGTTGGTCGTTTAACAAATTCTTCCTACCTTGAAGTCATAAAGGGATTCTCCAGTGTTATTTCTAAAAGGTAGTCAAGTTTTATTTTTCCCATTTAAATCTTTAAACTACTTGGAATATATTTCTGGGTGTGGTGTGAGATGAAGATTATCCTTTTCCATCAATCACCTGAGCAACGAGAACTGGGCCCAAAGCACCAGACAAAGTGCCTGGAATCTGTCCTGGTGCAGATAGTGTGATCTGGAGGACACCAAGGGCCTCACCCGACAGTGCCCTCTACCTAGAGTTGAGAAAACAGGGGCTACCTAAGTCACTCAGGGTGGAGGGAGAGCTCTCCAGACATCTGTCAATCACCAAGAACTCCCATTCACGTCTGAAAAGGTCGGCCTCCACACGGGGTTGCCCTTATTTGTGAACAATACCTCAAAAATGCCGGCTAAAAACCAACTTCAGATGCTTTACACTCTACACAGCCCCTAAGCCAGGTAAGGACCCTCACTGGCTGGGAGGGGGTCTGGTTTACTGCAGAACAAAGAACCTGCTGCCATTGTCGGAGTGTCCCACCAGGTGGCAGTCTTGGGTGGACAGCCCGATGCCTTCCTACAGTTGTACCAAGCTTTAGTAAGAAACTAATTTTTAAGGTGGCCTTGACAGGAGGCAGAGCAGAGGCCTCCTTCTGAGCTCAGCAGGAGCCAACTTTCCCAGGACAGAGTAGGCCATGGAGTCTATAACCAGGGCAGGAAAATGGTTCCCCAAATGCCCTCCCCTTGAGGAGCTCATGACAATCCAGAGACAATTCAGGGCAGCCAGGATGTGCCACAAATTCCTAGTGAGACAGGCAGGTCAGGGAAATCCCAGAGCAGAACCAGGAATCCTTTCTGATAGTTAACCTAGCAATGTGGAGGGATCCTAGGGTCAGAAGAGACCTCCAGGGAGCCATCAGGCCCTGGCCTGTTTCCACCACCATCACCTCCAACCTCAATGGGCCACACAGGTGTAAACTCTGCATGAGGACATCCTGCATACTCAGAGGGGAATTCCACCTCTCTGAGCCCCTCTACCTCCGACTCTCACTGCCGCCCAGGAGTCAGAGACTCATCCCTCCCACAGCACAGCAGCCAGACATTCAAGGAGGCTCAC